AGAAATATTTGATAATTATACTGAGTACATTCAAAAACCTAGAGAATATTTTAAATGTTTTATTAAGGAGAAAGTTTATGCATTCATGTTGAATGAAAACTGTTCAGTGGTTCTAGAAACCATTAAAAGCAATATCATCTCCAAAGGAAAGTGTGTGATGGATGCTGTGAATGAAGTAACAGAGAAGATAAATAGTAGTAATGGAGACGTCAGCATGTGGCTTCAGCATTTATCCAGAAAACTACAAGATGAGCTTCAGTTTAAAGAAAAGTCATGTAGTGAGCAGAAAGAAATTACAGACCTTGACTTTCTTCGAGAGGTTGTGATTAAAGGTCTAACTAGCATCATGCCAAAATTAAGAACCAGCTTTCAAAGCACTTCTGACCTCAAACTGGAAATGTTCAGGAAGAAACCAGAGGAGATTCTGATTGAGCACCTCTGCCGATGCTGCTGGGCACAGTGTCCGTTCTGTAATGCCGTCTGTACCAACACAATGGAAGATCACACTGGAAATCACAGTGTCCGTTTCCACCGCAACCCCGGTACAAATGGATGGTCTTTCAAGTTTACAAAAGAGCTTGGAATCGATTTCTGCACAACTCTTGTTTCAAGTAATCTACATTTAATGTACCTGGTAGAATAATTTCCTTTAAAGAATACAGAACTGCAGGTGGAGAATATGCCAGATGGAACATCAGCCCTGATAATTCTCAGATGCCGTACTGGAAATGGTTTGTGTGTAGATTTCAGGTGGACCTGGAAAAACATTACAAGAAAAAATTCATAAACAACGGAGAGATTCCCAAGCAATGGAGGGATTACACTAAAGAGAAAGCTATTGAAAGCTTAAGTGAATTGTAATATTACTCTGAAAGGTTGAGAATTCTTGAAATGAGGCCATCTACTCATTTGACTACAGAGCTGAATCACAAGTAACAGGTAATACTTTCAAAGCCATTGATATACTGCCAAGAAGTTTATGGATGTGTCAGTATAACTACAGCAGACTGATATGATGTGGTCAAAATAATAAAACATTCTAAATGGACTCTATAGTTCTGCTACAGTTGTTGCTTATGTGTCAGAATTTTACCTGAGCCAGATAATTAAACTGCATGTGTTCATCTCATCTGGACTTTAGCTGGCACAACTCTACCACAGTTATTACCAAAAAACAGATTGTTGTATGAATTCTTGTGGAAATAATTACTATTTTTTCTTTTAATCGTTGTTTTGTAAAGGTATCTGACATTGCGTGAACGCAATGAATTAATATCTTTTTTTTGTGATGACAGCCGTAGCCTAGAGATGTTGTTGTAATAATATATTATACAATTATAATAAAATCTGTGTAATCAATTGTGTGTATTCTATAATTGTTATTAATGTACAAATTTCATAAGATTTGGTTATCGTTTAGTATCGTTTTGATTGGTTTGGTTATAAATCAGTACACTTTCCTGCCAGAAATTCAGGCAGGTTATAAATGTTGGAAAAACATCTGGTAACGCTGATCTATAAAAGAAGCCACACTGCAAAAGTATGAGACTAGATTTACAGAGGAAACATTACTTTTATATTAAAAACACACTGTTAAATTAATACAGTGAAATGTTTGACTTTTTAAGTTTAAACTGTGTTCAAAATAAAACATTATCATTATCATGTAAACATCATTTCACATGGTCTTTTTCTATAAATTGTTTGTCTATGCTATGTGGCTTTATGTTGTCAATGTCAATGCTACAAACTCATATGGCGTCTGTTTTTTGCTTGTTTTCTAAAAAGAATAAAATGGTTTTGTAAAATTTGGAAATTTATAAAATTTGCTTTATTTAAGTTTTACAGAAAGAACATAAAACACAGAATATTCACAGAAAACACAAAAAGAAACTAAGTTTTATACTTGCAGATTGTAGTGTCTGAAATCCTACACAGTGATATGAAACTGTCATAACACTCATAATGTCTTCCCTGTCAGAACACTTATAATGTCTTCTCTTTCATTTTCATATGAGAGCAAAAGGCACAAGGATCGGTCCTCTGATCAAGTCATTGTATCCCAAAAACAGTGTCAGAAAAGGTAACTGAAAAGAATTTGACAAAATCAAAAGGGATTTAATTGGAGCCATGTTGCCAGTGAAATAGTTACTGAGATCATATTGAATCTGCAAACAGGATTACAATCATGTGACAGAACAACATTTCAAACAACATAGCAACCACTGAATAAGGACAAATGGTCCAACTTTCAGCCATAGTAATTAGAATAAAATGAACTGTCATCCATCAACTACTACATCAAACTAACAATGATCAACACAAATCATGCTCTTAAAAAAACAGCCTTTGCAGTGGAGATTTGGACATTACTTCAGTTAAACCACAAGATAGTTTTTTCGGGCTGAATCTTCAAAAGTAGTTTTCTTGAGGTTTCGTTTGATTTCTTCATTCAAGTTTTAGATGATGAACAACTTGATCAGTGAGAAGCACAACATTCCACAAGGCCTGTCCAGGCAGCAGAGATCATCTACTGCTACATCTACTGATGGATGATGTGGTGGAGATTTCCTACTATGTCCTATCAGGGAAAAACACTGATCATTTCACTGATTACGTAGCATTCAGTAATCCACATGGTGATGCAAAAACTAAAAAAATTAAAAACTGGTTGAATTAAAAATCCAGCTATTCATATACAAATTGTTTGTCGGAAATGAAATTAACTTTTTACTCAAAATAATTGGTCGAGCATTTATGTATCTATCAGTTAATGGTTAATCAGTAGCCTAAATGATTAACATCTCTAGTGAATACACTTAAGTGAGCTGGTTCCTGTGACATAATAAAAACAATTCATTCAAAACAGGCTGCTAACTACCAACTTAACTACAGGCTGCTGCAGGTTTGTGGCAACAAGGCATCACCTCCTCCTTCTGTTTCCAGGGACGGCTGGAACATGAGTTATAAAAATGATATAGAGGCATCACTGGGCCTATAATTTTTAATGGTTAATCAAGTTACAACAGTAACAGCCCCTGTGGCCCTAAAACTCCTCTATCACATTTACTGCCAAAAACAAAACAAACAAACAAAAAAAAAAGTTGGGTGATGTGATTTCCTACATATCACATATACCACATTTATTCTACCTTACATACAGTGGGGTAAAAAATTCTGAGACGACATTAAAAATCTGGAATCTGAAATTAAATGAACGAAAGAATGTTTTAAAAATTTGGAAAATTTAAAACAAAGCTATAACATTCTGCTCTATTTATAGGTCGTGATTCAACTGTAAGTAACATTGACCATGTTGAGGCCTTGTTTTTGCACAAACTTCTTGAGTTCATGGCAGTTCGAGTGCATGCTGAGAAATTTTGATATTCATGTAAATATTTCCAAGATTCTACTTTTCACCCACCACTATTATGCTGATGATATAATTTGTAATGTAAAATGCTGTAATATGTTAGAGGAGAATGCAAAATAAGAGCATTCTCATTTTTCGTGTCCCAGATCTTTTGGGACCCCACAATAGTGTAGAATTAAGTGTTCTAGAAACGCAGGCTCTGTGCTGCAGGAAGTCATCATACCTATAGGAAAACCCACTTCTAGGGTATGGAGTACATTTCAGTATGTTCTCACACCACATCGTCAGGTTTCAGACTGAAAAACGTCTTCAGCCTGAGGATGAGTAAAATCACGTCTAAGCTCTTGTTCATCACGCGAAACGGGTCGTTTCAAATGGCCTCAGGCAAAATGGCTTCAGGGAAAAAAAAATAACTCAACGGAAAAAAAAAAACAACACACATAGTTTCTATACGGTTACTTGAATAAGAAGACTCTGTTTTCTAGATTCTGTACAAGATGTACAGGTACTAAATTATCAAATATCTCAGACCATTCACACTCAGTCCACCTCAGACTTTACCAGGCATCACTCATTGGGGACAGAATCTGTAGTCTGTTTCTGTCAGACCCAGTAATCTCTTTCTAGACATCTTAAACTTTCCAACCGATTTTTGTGGATTTTTAAGGAGAATGTAAAATTGGGAATGCCACACAAGCCAATGTGTAAGTCAGCTAAACCTAACAGAACACTAAATTTGCACATGCTAAAAACATGTGTACTCAAGTTACTAGGAGGTGCTGACAGCAAAACAACTATGAAAACACAACAGTTTGCTGGTGCTGCTGTTTTTGACACTGTTTGCACTAAGACAGTACATACATTTGGGTAAGGTCCTGTATGTATGGGAGACACGACCAGTGTGGTGTTTTTTTGTCCTTTTACATCATATGGACTCTTGATTGTAACTGCAGACAATAGCAAACAGTCAGCCCAGTTGTGAATTAGGATGTAATCAAGGTCAACCTGGACTGTAAGCCTGGCTTTAGAACAAATATTACAACAAATACTACAATATCTATGTTTCTGGTTTTACAAACCTTATGTTGCATGTTCTATACATATTCTAAGTAATACATTATGTGAAACGTGAATATCTGCTACATGTTCTGCTGGATCTAGAATCAAAGCTGTTATTCTGGTCAACTCCTGCCTTTTCCCCTCATGTATTCTCATAACCAGTACAAACAGCAGCAAAACTGGAACAGCTGTAAAATGGCTCTACACACTGTTTTGTCCAAGTATCTGATATTTCATTATATCTGTAAATGTGTGACTGAAAGGAGGTGCTCAGCAACTGTCATAGCACACTTTATCCACAAAGTGGCGATGTTATACATCTGTGTTTTACTAACGGCTGCAGATTACAGTACTGATACAATCTGTGCTTTTATAAGAGCTGCTCTCCAGCAGACAACAATAAGAACAATAAACAATAAACAATTTTAACATTGCAGTAATAATACTGAGATTTGATCCTAGACCACTTGTTCTGGTGTAACAGGTTAAAGTGCTATACATTCTTGACTGAGTCATGTGACTTCAAGGAAGTCTGCCCCACAACCTTCAATAATACAGAAACTACTTTCAGTTCCTGGGGCAGAGATCTCACAGCGAGCGGCAGGAACCCACAGCAAGAGGAAACAAAGACATTTACTAGTACTCAGGTTAGTTTTCATTATTTTTACTCCTCTTTTACAATTTGACCATTGCAAATGCTCAAATGGCATTTTAAGTCAGGACAAAAGTCAGTTTTGGCTTGTTTTACACATTTAGACAGACATATACACCATAAAACATACTTTTTAACTTTTTTAACAAAAAAAAAAACAAAAAGTATTTGTATATGTTTATTTGTTATAACATCATTTGAAGTCAGATCAAGCCAAACTGGTAAAAGTTTTACCATATTTAGTTAACTGTCATATACACAGTGACCAAATACTGACTCATTTTAAATTTCCAGGCTACAATATTTCTGTGTAGTTCTTGAAGTGTAGTGTAGTTTCTGAATTCATAAGTCCAACACTTTAAACCCACATCCCCAACTTTCCTCTCTCAGTTTAAGACTCTAATAAGGTTTACAAAGATATGGAGACCTGGGCCTGCAGAAAGTATTTACAGGGTGGGGCTCAAAATCGAGAAGGTTACTTGAGGTATTTTTGGAATGTAAATAAATCTTTGAAGCACAAGGGTGAATCCATTGTTTGCAAATGTGACTGGCTAATGGTGCAGGGTAATGCTTCAAAACATTTGGTTACCAAAACCAGAGCTAGCAGTGCATCTGCCAGATCACACAGGAGTACATCATCCAACAAAAAGAACTATGATGATTTTTACCATGCTGGACTTGCAGGAGTGGTGCAGACAACCAAAAATAAATAAATAAATAAATAAATGTGCACATTATTATTATTAGTAGTAGTAGTAGTAGCAGTATGGATGAATGTAATTGTTAGCATTAGCAATGCAAATGCCCACACCTGAGGTTTATGATTTAACTGTGATTGAGCAGTCATACTAATCTATGTAGTAATTATATTTATATTCAACTCTTAATAAAAAGCTGAGCTTTTTTTAATCATAAAAACATCATATTTAGTATAAATGTAATGTTTTTCTGTTCTTCATCAATGAAGCCTCTTCCATTAGTGAGGGCCACTTCCATTAAACACCATCATATGGATTTCAGTAAGTAAAAACAGGTGGAAGATGTAGTTAAGATCAGCTTTACTGCTCTGGCCTTTCAAACAATATGCATATATTATTAGTCTACACAGAAAGACAAAAATAACCTGGCTGAGTTAGTTTTGTTAATATTAATAATGTCAAATCACACCTACACAGCCTACACAGACCGTTGCAAAATAATTCAAAATGTGCAAATATAATTACAAACATCTGAACTTAAACTTTACCTGTTTGTAATTAGACTATTTACACTACATACACTTCACAGTATAACTGAAGTACACAAAGCAGTCAATTTTCTGATGTATATCAACAACTCAAGCAAATGTAAGGCTAAGGCTGCTAAACTTACAACTTAGAATTCTATTTATTCTACGTGTATAGTTTTGTCTTTTTGACCCTCGACACACCACAAACATTGCACTTTGGCCCTCAAAGACAAGAAGTTTGGGCACTTAATTCAACCTCTGTATAGTGTATTTTATAATGTCATTTTCAATATGACGCTACACAGTGCAAACTCTATGAAGTTGTGGAATCGTGTTCTGTAAATGAGAATGTCGTAATGACAGTAGCATATTTCTCAGGTGGCAAATCAAGCATATGAGAACAAGCAAATAAAAATCTGTTTTTCTTTGAATTAATTTGAAGAGTAACTACACACCACTCCAACTCCACCCCTGGCTCAACTTGAAAAATGCTTAAAAATTCGAGGGAACATTGGGAGGGGCACTGCAGTGATCTACAGGTTTGGAGGTGGGGCTGGGAGGGAAACCAGGTGGGCTGGGCTGCTGCGTTTTTATAGCTAGCATACAATAGCTACCAGAAAACATGGAGAGTGACAGAATCAAACAGCACTTTTGCAACGCAGAGGTCTTACAAGGTTGACCATTTTTCTCCACTACTATCCCCATCCTCGACAGAGGAAGGCGTTTCTGATCCTTCACGTTACCTAATCTTAGGCACAAGTAGGGCATCACCAGGGGGCGGTAACATTGGTTGACTGATTTGCATAATGTGACGTGTCACACATCATCCATACCTATAGAAGAGTTGAATCAGAGGGGCGCTGCAGAAGCGGGACTTGACCACGATAAAAATGTTTTATAGAGTTTGAGAAAGCTGTGTTCAGATTTCAAGCAAGGCTAGTATATTTTATTATTACAGAGAAGTGCATTTCAGCTGTTAATGAAAAAAAAGTTCTTATGGTGTAGTTACTCTTTAAAAAAAACTACATTTCCTTTAAAGAATTATATACTAATGAGAAATGTTCATAATGTATTTTTAGGAGCAATGAAGAGGCAAAAAAGAAGAAAGCACTCTTCAAGCTGACAAGCAGGAAAGTAAAAGAAGGAAAAACAACTACAGTCATCAAGTTTCAGTCTTTCATCATCCAGTAAGATGGGTAAGCATATACAGTGATATCAACAAACAGATATGTAATACAGGAAGTACAGCTCTTTGTGAGTGGTCTGATTTTAAAGCAACTTTATGGCTTTGTCTTCCAGATCAAAAGATCCAAGAGCTCACTGTTACACTGTTTGGCAACAGCTCCGCTGTTCATTTTGGAGATGAGAACATTCTGCTTGGACAAAATAAACTTGCAACAGATAATGCTGATTTCTCTCTGACTGTTTCAAAAATAAGGAATGTATCAGGGCGCAGTGTCAATTTAATTAACATCCTGGACTTGCAAGACAGTGAACTTTACCTGGACTCTGTGGACCAGGCAATAGCTCGCCTAGTCAATGAAAATGAAATCCATGCCTTTGTCTTTGTTCTCCAACTGTGCCAGTTAACAGATACAGATAAGATGGGACTAGAATGGCTGCAAAGAATGTTTGGTGAAAGTGTGCTACCTTTCGTGATGATTCTCTTCACTTATGAGAAGGAAGAGGACTGTGACACCATCATAGATGACCTGAAAAAAAATCCTGTTCTAGAGCAGCTGCTCACGAAGTGTGGCGACAGGTATTACACCTGCAGCAAGAGCATGAACAACCAATCCGAGATGAAAACACTGCTGGAGAAGATTGACCACATGGTTTCTGAGAACAGTCAGTGCTGCTACACTGCAGAACTCTACAACACAGCTTCAAACCTCAGAGAACGACTGCAAGACAGTAAGAACCAACGTGGTAAGCATACACTTTGCATTGAGCATGTATCAGTCAACAACTGCATTAGAACATGATCAGGTTTTCTATACAAGAAGTCATAAAAGTCACCGACATGGTAGATAAATATGAAAGGCCTTCAACCAAGAATACCCAGTCAAAATACTTAATTGATTCCTGACTCAGTCTATGACAAGTTGTGTAATGAAACCACATTAAATATCCTAGAATACCTAACTAGTTTTGTTTACATGATGTGCTTTTTGATGAATAAAACAAAAGATACTTTACAACCAGCACATATTTCATACCAGTATGGTATTGTCCAGTTTCATGTGCAGCTCTGATGGTGTTGTTTTGTATTTTTGTAAATAGCTTACACATTAGAAATTCGAAATTATTAATATTTAATCTGTGAAAGGTGTGCTCTATAACTAACCCTAATTTCAAATCGCATTAAAAAATATATGATTACAGTTGGAAACAACTGATATATTACAGTTTATTCTATTTACTGGCTACATCCTGATAACAAAAAAACTATGTTTGTCTATTTTTATATTATTAGCATGTAGCTCTCAACAGCCACAGGATGATGTGGATGCTGCAGCCAGCAAACAAATAACAGAAACAGAAACGGTAAGTAGTTTCTGACCCTTCACCATCATCCACATTAGCATAAAATAACACATGTAACAACCAATGTATAATTAGTAATTAATACATACATACATACATACATACATACATAAATCATCTAAACCGCTTATCCTCCTGGGTTAGTAATTAATAATTAATGATTAAACTTCTTAATGGCGGGTTCATGATATCTCTGATTTTGTTGCTGGTTGCCCTCTTCTTCTTTTACCTTCAACTATTCCAAGCATCATCGCCATTTCCAAGGCATTGGCTCTTCTAATAATATATTCAAAATAAGATAGCTTCAGTTTGGTTATCGTGGTGAAAGATGGGGCTTGATTTTGTCAAAAAATCCACTCTTTTGCTGCTTACTCTTCTCTTTGTCAACACCAAGTACAGAGGCTTCAATATTTTTCCTGTCCCACTTTTTTATTATCCAGCTTTTACATTTATAGAGAGCTGCAGAAAAGACCACAGCCTGAACAATTCTGATCTTTCTTTGTAGAGACACATCATTACATATCCATTCTAAACATGAGGTCTTCTGAATATGAACTTTATAAATTATAAATTATTAAAATATGAATACATTTGAACAAAAATGTAAAACATGTAATTGTCAGTACAAATCAAAATATGGTTAAAAAATCTAAACTGACAAGAAAAAAATATGTGAGCACAATATTAAAATATACATGTATGTACAGACTATAAATACAAATAAATTAAGTTACATATTAATCCTTCACAAATAGAAATGTTCTTGTGTAAATTGTACAGTGTCATTATAAAAGATACTGCCATACAATAAATAGCAACCGTGGTAAAGATGAAGTAGCTTCCTAAAGTCCTCTTGGACAACAGCATTAAACAACACTCGAATGGAAAAGCTACAGAGCTCTAGCACAGACCTTAAGAAGCCCTGTCAGTACTAATGGTTTGATAATATGCAAGTGGAAAGTTCATGTAGCAGACAAATGAAAGAAGGTGAGAGGAAACCTAGCAGTCACTTGAAAAGCAGTCACTTCAAAACAACCTGAAAGCAGCAGCAGAAACAGTTACTCAGTGAACACTAAGCAATAAACTGCACCCCAATCGTTTCCGTTTCTACACTCCATGCAAAAGTCCTCTGCTAAGAGATACACGCCTAAAATTTGCACATAACATAGCACTTAAGACAAATCAAAACGGTTTTGGAACAATAATTCAGTTCATCATGTTTAAAGACAGAAGAGTTGGGGACTTGATCCCAAGAACACCGTACCCACAGTGAAAGTATGGAGGTGGGAGCACCAAGATATGGAGCTGCTTCTCTGCAAACACTACTGGGGCATTACACATCATCAACGAGAACATGATTGGCACGATACAGGACATATTCAAGCAGTATTTAATGGCATCAGCCAAGAAAGGGGAGAAAATGGAAATTTCAACAAGACAGTGAACCCAAATACACAGCAAAAACACTCAAGAATGGTTTAAAAAAACGTGAAGGTGCTCACATGGCTCAGCCTTAATCTCCAGACACGAATGCTCCTGAGCATTTATGGATCATTCTAAAATTTCAAATCCAAGAAAGGGACCCTCATAACCTAGGAGAATTGATGGCATCTGGCAAAACTGAACCATAATGCTGCAAACTCTAAAGCTGTTGACTTCTTGAAGATGGTTTACAAAGGATTTGCAACAAAGTATTAATGTAATTAGTACTATCAATTCATTTTTTAATCTATTTTTGTTTATGCTTATGATACCATATGTTTTGTTTAAATGTATAAGTACAAATTTAAAATATATTATATGCGTAAATTTGAAGTAGATATGTGAACAGGGAGTATATTACAAACAAAGTGTCTGAATATTTGTTTTCCCGCGATGTAAATGTCCCTTACAGGCATAATATACTATATGTATAAATTTAATGATTAAATTTAGAATATTAATGTCAAAACATCTCCACTGTTTGGAAAATTTTGGATCTGGACCCTTGTCATCACCATCACCACTATTACCTGTATATGGTTTTGTGAATAATCTGGTTGGGTGTATGAACTGCCCCTGTTTCTGTCTGTCTGTTTTCTCTTGTTTCATAGCTACACATTTCTGAATGTGTGTTAATTTTTCGTAGTTACCTTGTCGGCCTAGTTTTTAATTTCCATTCAGCTTATCCCTCTACAAATATGACTGTTTATGAACTTCAGTAATTTCAGGCATGTCATTATGTCATTATTTGCTAGAAAGCAATTAGATAGGCACTATAAAGTAGTGTTACTGTTGGACTACCAACACACTGCAGGCCAAGATTTTAATTTATTAAAGAAATAATATTTTGGTTTTTATACCTCTCTAGGTCTCCAAAACATCCAGATTTCTCAAGACTTTAAAGTCAATCTCATACACGGTCCGGGACAAAATAAAAGGCCGTAATCCTTCGGTAAGTAACAAATAAACCAAATAGGTTTGCTGTAAAGTGCACCTAGGACAGTACACAGCTCCACATGATAATAGCTACAATCTGGAAAATAAATAAATGAAAAATTACTGGGATTCACCCAGGGATGGATAATGATCCTGTGAGGCATTCCAACACACATTAACATCCCATTTGAACAGCAGCAATAAAATCAAACAGATAACATGTTTTATTTATTTATTTAGTCATTCATACGTATCATATGGCTATACATGCATCTTATGATGAGCTCCATCTGGCCGTGTGTTCTGAAGCCTCCCAAGCTCAGTCAGTGATCCTTGCCCAGATTCACCAAAGAGCAAATTAATATTTCATATTTTCATACTTTTATTTGCCCTAAATAATACTGTTTCATACTCACATAGCAGGAGTGAACCTTGAGAAGATTTTAACTTATGTTGCTGGATTTGAATGCACAAACAACAAAAAAAAAATAGCTGGTAATTTTATTTATTACTCAGAATTTCACTTCCAAATTCCACACCAGTTTTGGGAAACTCAGAGGTTACACTTAAAACAACAAAAAAGGTTGTTCAGCAAATGTCATTAAACATTTTATAACATGTTTTGTAACATGTTTTGTAACAAAGTACACTAATCTAGTAAGTACTGTTAATATATATATATATATATATATGTATGTATATATATATATATATATATATATATATATATATATATATATGTATGATAATGTGCTATCACTATCCATATATTATAGATTACATGATATAGCCTGAGATATAACGGCTCTTGCATAAACATAATTAAGCTAGAGCTGGCCTCGTATTTGAATTTTCTGTTCCACTGGAAATTGTGCATTAGTTACATTTAGGCACCTTATACATAGAAAGAATTCTGAAAAAGAAACTGGCGAGTAAGAAGCCAACATCATGTGGAACACAGAAAAATTTGTAGACATCCAGTTTACCTCAATAAATGCACCCTTCAGGAAATATCTTAAACTTTAACTTGGAAACAGCAAAGCTATGATCAGCCACAGGAAGTACTATAGAACGGATCTCAACAGCTGAACTAAAGTTGCATCCCAAATCACCGACTCCTATATTTTACTTTCTACACTAATGAGTGAGCTTCTAATGGTACTGCTTATATACTATTTAGTGTGTTAGAATGCAGTTTCTGATGCAACAGAAGTAACACAGCAGGAAATCTCAGTCGTTTAGCGTTCATCTTTCATTTGTTATCACTACAGCAGCAACTCAAAATCAAGACAATACACTGACATATACTGGTTAATACACTTTAAAAATTGTCTTAAACTTACATTCCCAAAAAATGTGTTTTACTGCTTTGGTTTTACTTATTGATTGATTGATTATGGCTTTGTTATCTCATGACAAACTGCCAATGCACTGCTGAATGAACTTGTATATATTTTCAGCATAAATCTAGTGATTTAAAATACAGTCTATGCAAGTGATCTCCAACCCTGGTCCTGGAGAGCTACCTTCCTGCAGTGTCTAACCAAAATCTGCCACACCTGCTCCAGCTAATTCACTTCTTCAGAAGTTCCTTATTGGCTGGATCAGATTCCTTTGTTTTATAAGGGGAGGGGCAGCATGTTAAATGCAGGTTGGAGCTAAATTCTGCAGGAAAGTAGCTCTCCAAGACCGGGTTTGGAGACCACTCTTCAATACAAGTTAGGCTTATTTTAATTCAACAGAAATACAGCAATAATCAGCTGAAATCCTAGAAAGTTTCTAGCAGTATCTGAGCTCAGGACTGGCTTTCTCTCTAACCTATTTGTAACTAGCAAAGATACTTTCTCTAGATAACCAAAGCATTTTTTGTAAGTTGCTCTGGATAAGAGCGCCTGCTAAATGCTGTAAATGTAAATGTAAATGATAAATAGATCCATGGGGGGAAGGCTGATTCAGATACAAATTCAAATATGTACAGTATGGTGCATAAGTCTTAAGCACTTCAGCAAATATTTTAAAAGCAGTAAACATATTTTTGCTTATAAAACCATCATATATCTTTAGAATAAATGCTAGCAAAAACGGATGCGGTAAAAAGAAACAAGAATTTCTTGCCCTCAAAAAAAGTTGCTATCTTTTGAGCTAGACAGAACACGTTCCTTGTTTCCTTCTGCATATGTTTTCTTTAGCCAAGTGAAGTGCCGGTGTTGTCTGTTTTTCATCTCCACCCCGGTTTGTCCTTTGTCTCTGCCCTCTTTTGTGTGCTTTCTATACTTCCTTTTATCAGTCTTGTTTTTGTTGTGTGAGCTCTGTGTTTGGCATTCTTTAACTGGTTTCCCAGCCCTGCTTCATGCCTGTCATTTTCCTCTTTGATGATTTTCTGTTTTGTGCCTGCTCTTGAGGAATATTTCACAAAGTAGAATTTCTGTGTTAGCCAGATAAGGTAAACTCAAAGATGAGGACTGTCCAATAGGAATGTATGTACGCTCTTTTCCTATTGGACAGGCTTAACTTTAGCCTTATATAATCTAATGGAACTTGAGAAATCTGCTTTGTGAAATGCCCCCCAGTCCTCTGTTCTTGGTTTGTTTGTCCGTTTACATTCTAAGTTCCAGTTGCCAATCATTTGTGTTTTTTGTTCTTTCGTTTAGTTTTCTCTGCCAGTTACATAATGGACATTTCTGAATCACAAGTTGTTGACTCTGTTTACATGGACATACATGAACAGAACTCTCAAATCCTTTGTTACAACATGTTGGGTTCTAGATGTCTCCCCAACACCCCCAGCCATCACATAAATTTATTAAATTCCATCAGCAGCACAACTGATTTAATTTACTGAAGTATTGAATAGCCAAACTAGGTACTAGATAATAACGACAGGAAAGGTTAAGGAAACATTGACATACAAAAACCTACTTACCTACTTAATAGAATTACTTCTTGTATTAATGTTATCTGTAATTGTTCTAACTGTGTTTCGCTGAGCAATATCATTTTCTCAAAGGAGGGCAAAGCTTCTGCTTAATATATGTGAAGCACTATTGATATAGTTTGTGAATGATTCAGACTTTTGTTCTTCTGACTTTTCAGTTCCATTTTAACTTGAGTGTCATGTAAAAAACACTGAAACTTGAACTGTTTTACAGGAGGAAAATGTAGAGCTTAAAGTTGCAGTACACCCTCAACAGAACTATGAAGAAAAAGAAAAACTTTTGGGCAAGCAAACAGACCAGCTCTTTACAAGACTTCAGTTGGAAAAAAATCAGCAACAAAAGCTAAAAACTGCAGATGTTCTTCAAATAACTGCACAGTCATTAAGCTCCCAAGACTCTTGTAGAGAGAAAGAACTTGTTAAGACATTTTTACAAAGGCTGCTGTTGATGGACTACAGAGCAAGAAATATTACAGTCAGTGAGAGAGATCAAAGACAGTCAGGTACAACAGAGAAAGATGAGGAGGACACATGGGAAAGTTTCATCACGACAAAGTCAGAGCTTGATGATGGAAAAGGTAAAGATCATATTGACCCCATGGATGTTCAGATGGCTGTGTTCCACTGCTCAGACAATTTCCTAAAACAGCTGATAGTGACTAAACTTTCACAGTGTCAATATGCACTACCTCTGCTAGTGCAAAATCCTTTCACAGGAAAGATTGAGTTTCCTCTGTGGACATTCCGCCAGATTAGGAAGAGCTGGAAGACCTGTGCAATTTCTGGTGAGACAACCAGCAAAACCAAACCAATATATGAAGCAGAAACACCAATGGTCGTCTTCTTTAGGATTGGCGCTATTTCCTCATCCAAGTCTCAACTCATGAACAGCCTGATCAATGAGAAGCACAACACATTCTTCCACAGGGACTGTCCAGGCAGCTGCAGAGATCGTCTACTGATGGCTGGTGTGGTGGAGATTTCCTGGTACCTCCCATCTGGCAAAGGCACAGATCATTTCACTGACTGTGTGGCTTTCTGTAATCTACGTGGTGATGGAGAAACTCACAAGAAACAACTGGAGATTCTGACTGAAATGTCTTCTGTGAATGTTGTAGTTGTAGGTGATCAAGATGATAAGATCACAAGCAATGAAATTCTACAGAAGCTCTTCAAATGCCCAAAGCCACTAATTTGCTTATTCTGTGAGGATAACTCAAAGGCCAGTGGGGGAAAGAATTTGAAATATAAAATTGGTCTCAAAGACAGGAACAAATCAGATGTGCTTACGGATCTCAGAAAGGTAATTAAGGAATGTACCTCAAAATCACTTTCTACTTTCAGTCTTGATAAACTGGGCCAGAAAAAGGAGATAAGAAAAGATGAGAATGATGAGGAATGCCAGAACGGAAAAGGAGCTGCTATGCAGATAATGATGCTGCTGAAAGGAATTGAAATGTCCAAAATTAAGGAGCTGTATCTCCCATGTCAAGGAAAACAGTGGCATAAGTGGTGTGAGAAAAAGAAGGAACTACACAGACTTCAAGGACCCAACATAGAGATGCAAAAGTGTAAAAAGCAAGCTGAAATGAAGGAGATTCGTAAAGAGCAACATCAACATGGACTCTCAAAACTAATGGAGCTATTTATTGACACACTGAAGTCGCTAACAGAAAACGAGAAGTGCTATTTTCTAAAATGGCTTGGGATCCTACTGGATAACAGTACCACAGATGAGCTCTCTGGCTTCCGTCAAGCATATGATCTGACCTGGTCAAAAGTTCTGGACCTAAAAGGACAAGCAGACAAATCAGAAGAAATGAAGGCTGCCCAAACACAACTTGAAGAAATATCACAAAAACTGAGCGCTGTGTCCTTCGGTATGGAACACATTCTCAGGGAGATGGGTCAGATATATGAGTCATTAATCAGTGTTCAAGTAGCAAAGAAAGACTTCACTCTCCCGAAAATTGCAGCTGAGGTGATGCTATCTGGGCATCCACTGGAGCTGATGGACGGTGATACAGGTCATGTTCCCCTGGACTGGGTTTCTGCAGTTCTGGATGAACTTATAAATAAACTGGGAGATCTGAGAGTTTTTGTGTTGTCAGTTTTGGGGATTCAGAGCTCTGGGAAATCCACCATGCTCAATGCCATGTTTGGACTACAGTTTGCGGTCAGTGCAGGAAGGTGTACCAAAGGAGCCTTTATGCAGCTGGTTAAAGTGTCTGAGGAGATGAAGACAAAAATGAAGTTTGATTATATTGTTGTTGTTGACACTGAAGGCTTACGAGCTCTAGAATTTACTGGAATGTCAACAAGACAACAGGACAATGGACTTGCAACATTTGTTGTAGGTCTTGGAAACATGACTTTGATCAATATTTTTGGAGAGAACCCAGCAGAGATGCAGGACATCCTTCAGATTGTTGTTCAGGCCTTCATGAGGATGAAGAAAGTGAGATTGAATCCCAGTTGCATGTTTGTGCATCAGAATGTTGGAGAAGTCACAGCTGGAGAGAAAAACATGGAAGGACGGAAACGCTTGCTGGACAAACTGGACAACATGACAAAATTAGCTGCTAAAGAGGAAGACTGCAATGCAAAATGTTTCAGTGATGTCATTGCATTTCATGTGAGGAGTGATGTGTGGTACTTCACACAGCTCTGGGAGGGCAGCCCACCCATGGCACCACCAAACCCTCTGTACTGTGAAAACATTCAGGAGCTAAAGAGCAACATCATCTCAAAAATCTCCACAAACCGTGGTGTGACACTCTCAGAATTCAAAGAAAATTTCAGCAGTTTGTGGAATGCACTGTTAGATGAAAATTTTGTGTTTAGCTTCAGAAACACTTTGGAGATTGCAGTGTACAGGAAACTGGAGCATGAGTACAGTAAATGGACCTGGAGTCTGAGGAGCGCCATGCTGGCGATTGAGAACAGACTCCACAACAGAGTCATTAATGAAAGTTTCTTGGAAATTGATAAAAAAGACATCATAGAATGCATGAAAAAGACAAAAACAGATGTAGAAACATCAATTAAAAAGTTTTTTGATGAAGACTGGGATAAAGAAATTTTGATTCAATGGCAAGAAAGATTTCAGAGGAAAATTTCAGAACTTTGCAATGAGCTTGTAGAAGGAACAAAGAGAAAGCTGGATGAAGTTATTCGACTGAAAATAGCGAGGGAGAAAATAGACTGTGAAAAGAAAGCATATGAAAGTAAACTTTTTAAACTGAGTAAAGACCTTGCCAAAGAAAAAAACAAAGAAACCAAAGAAGAAGCACTCGAAAAAGAATTTGAAGATGTCTGGTCCAAGTGGGTCACCGAACTGACACCAGACACACCCACATTTGGCGAAATTAATATATGGGGTGATGTTACAGAGATCTTGTCAGAAAGCTATGAACTAAGCTTTGTTTGTGAGCGAGAGACTCAGGGTACCTACAAAAGAATGGACGTTTTAGGGGATTATTCAGACTCTGTCATTCTTAAAAACCAAGAAGACCCTGACCAGGAAGATCTGCAATCAACAGATGAACAGGGAGAGGAAGATGACAATAAGAATGCTTGTGCATTAGAACAAGTAGTCAAAGATGAGAAACAAGGCCTGTGTGAAGACAGCTGCGGAACGAATACTTTTACAGCAGATGACGGCAATTCACTGAGTGCTCTCATCAGAAGCACTGCCACAGACATTAAGGCAGAAATTCAGAAGGTACCCATTGCTGAACGTGGATACAGTCACATCTACATTCCAGAAATAATTGCCTCCGTCAAAGAAAAAGTGAAAACATATGAATCCAGCACCTCAAAGTTTATACTCAAAAAGGAATTCACAGTTGATTTATGCCTCTATGTGTGTAAATTTGCTGCAGAACAATTTGCAGAGCGGCACAAGGAATTCAAGGAAGCCTATGATGTAAGACTGTACCTGGAGAAACAGAGGCAGCAGTACTTAAATATCTTCAAGAACTACTGTAATGGTGCAACCTCCACAGCTGTGTTTGGTCAGCTATTTGTGGATACACTGGAGCCATCAATACTGCAGGCAGCATATGACCAAACTGCCATTGATCTGAGTGAGAAAATGAAACGTGATGTTCCTGCATTTAATGGAAACAGGTCAAATCTGGAAAAACACATTCTGACATCACTAGCAGAAGAGGGATCTTTTGAGAATTACATTCAATACATTCAGAATCCAAGAGAACATTTTAACAATTTTATTAAGAAGAAGGTCAATGACTACATTTTCAAAGACAACTGTTTAGTAGTTCTAGAAACTATCAAAGGCAACATCCAGTCCAAAGGAAAGTGTGTGATGGATGCTGTGAATGAAGCAACAAAGGAGGCCAATAACAGCAACGGAGATGTCAACATGTGGCTGCACCATTTATCACAAAAGCTAAAAGATGAGCTTCAGTTTAAAGAAAAGTCATGTCTTGAGAAGAAAGAAATTACAGACCTTGACTTTCTTCAAGAGGTTGTGATTAAAGGTCTAACTAGCATCATGCCAAAGTTAAGCACAGGCTTTCAAGACATTTCTGACCTCAAACTGGAAATGTTCAGGAAGAAACCTGATGAGATTCTGATTGAGCACCTCTGTCAGTGCTGCTGGGCACAGTGTCCTTTCTGTAATGCCATTTGCACCAACACAATGGAAGATCACACTGGAAATCACAGTGTCCGATTCCACCGTAACTTCGGCACAAATGGATGGTCTTACATTTTTAAAAATCAGCTTGGGATTGATTTCTGTACAACTGCAATTTCAAGTAATCTTCTGCATTTTCAGAAATCTGGTAAAGTATTTTCTTTTAAAGAATACAGATCTGCAGGTGGAGAATATGCCAAGTGGAACATCAGCCCTGATAATTCTGAGATGCCGTACTGGAAATGGTTTGTGTGCAAATTCCAGGAGGACTTGGAAAAGCACTACAAGAAAAAATTCATTGGGCATGGAGAGATTCCCAGTGAATGGAAGGATTACACTAAAGAGAAAGCTATTGAAAGCTTAAGAGAGTTGTAGTGTAACAGAAATTGTATTCCTCAAAGTAATAACTATCATCAGAAAAAAGCTACCTAGCCTACCTTGAATGAATCTGAATTTACCAGCTTTGCCAGCTTATTTTCAAATGTTCTGTTCCACCTTAAATGGTTCAGCAGTTACACTTTAGCAGCTGAGGAAACTTCAAATAAGTTTAACTTCAGCTTTGTCCATGTTGGATGGTTGATTATCCAAACGGATGGAGCAAGATGGAGCAAGCTTTAACTGGAAGACACAAAATCATCCTCGCATCCATCTCCTGTTTAAAGAATACTTTGGTTTCCCAGTTAAGTGCAATGATGGTGAGCAAAGAATGCTAGACTGAATGGTGACAGCGTGCCAACCTTACATGAGTATCAGTTACATGTGCTAATACCTCAAATATGTTAACTAATTTGTGAAGATATCTCCCAAATGTCTCAATTACTGGAGTGAGGAAACATTGTGGGTCGTAGGAGCTAGTTCTTCACACAGGATTCAAGCAGCCCTCAAGTGCTGATTCTAAATAGGCAAAAGAAGGAAGTCCACAGGGACGCTTTTAGCTTCTGATTTGCACCTCTAGTCAATTGCAGAGAGTCCTGGATTGAGCAGTTTTCATGGAGTGATTGAGCCATGTTAGAAACCAAGCCACAATTTGTATAGAAACACTTTATTTGGTTACAAATGAACTTGTAATGCTCACAGTCATAATAACACACATTTGCCAATGACACATGTGCAACATGTAATACCTATAAAATGAATACAATACGTATAACAGCATATCGTGAAATTTGTATATTGTTACACCCCTAATATATGCTCACTCGCCCTCTTTCTCTCTCTCTCATGGACACATCTTTGTTATTGTAAAACAACCCACACAGTTTTAGTACAAGATGAAGTACAAGAATTAGATGGCAGTTTTTTCTTTTCTTTTTCTGTTTTTGCTTGTTTTTTTCTTTTTATTTTGATGGCTGTATTGTAAAGGTCATTAACTTTCAGTCTGAAATGTAAATGGCAGGTAATAGACTAACTTTTTCTTTTTTTTCTTTTGGTGATGGATACCAAGAGATATTGTTTATATGATGCACAACTATAATAAAATCTGGATAATTGTTATAACCTCTTTTGTATTTATTCTTTTCTGTATAATCAGGGTTCATACACCTTTTCCAAAGTCAATTTTAAGCCCTTTTCAAGTATTTGCAAGCTTTTCCAGCACCCTACAGCTATAGTAAATTACATATTTATACAAATACACAGGTACTCATACTGATTAATTCACTTTTTGTCACATTAAAAGAGATGGTATTCTGCTATAAACAACCAGAAACGTGTTTGATGACAGCAGAAGGATAAGAATTTAAAGGAAAACGCATATGTTGTATGTTTCAAAATGTGTCACCTGTTTGTAAGCACACTTTCCTTGCTATCTAACCTTGCTGAGTCAGGATAAAACAATTACCAAAAAAATCACTCAACAAATAACTTCAATTTCAATAATTTTTTACTGAAAATGTCAAAAATAAGAACATTTAATTTAAGTTAGGTTAGCTGCTTATAGGCTAGCAATAGATATCTATCTCGCTGCTGTAACCTGATAACTGTGATAACTATCGAGGTTACCTGTTAACTGGCTAGCTGATGTTTACCTCAAGCTATTGTTCTAGCTATTAAACTAATGTTATGTAGGTTAACCAGCTAGCTTTAGCTGATTTAGGTTACTGTGCTAAGGTTAATGTTTGTTAACTTGCAAGTTAGATAAAATCAGATTACTACAGAAATAAATACCTTAGGGTTTCCATGCTACAACGTTGGTTAGCGAGGTAACCGGAGTTATCTTAACCTGCTAAAATTATGCTTCGTAGATAAATACACCTGAGGTAAAATTAAGCTAACACGATAGGCTACAAAGTTAGCTAGCTAGGTAGCTAGCTAACCTGGCAAGCTTACCCAAGCAGTTAGAAAGTTAGCTACTGATTTAAAACAAAAAAACGAATGAAATATTAGTTATTTTGGACCTTATTTACAAATTAATAACGTTCTTCTCCTTCTTACTCAATGTTAGCTATTTCTAAAGAGACGATAATCTTCTTACCTCAGTTTTCAAAAGTAATGATCGAGAGAATGTTCTGGTGCCGGGAATTCCCGCGAGCGCACACATTTTGCTAAACCCCTCAAGGTTTAGTTTTCCTTATTAAAACAACAAAAAAGTAACATAATACTGTGGTGGTAATATATTTAACGAAAGCCTTACTCGGCCCAGACTCCAAAAACAGTATCTTCTGTCTCTCAAGAACATTGTGCCTTTTTGGAGACGCAAGTTTTTTCAGACAGATAAGTTATATTACCTGGGATGCTCATCTGGTTAGCTAGTTGCTGAGCTGGCTTTACATGGTGAAACATTTAAAACACTGAAACATTCACGAAACTAAATTTCACTGGAACTGCATCATGTAAAATGTCCTGCAACTCAACTCAGCTTCTTTTAATCTCAACCACAACCGCGACAACCTCTTAAATTTAGTGAAAGAAGTTTCATGAAGCAGCCAATCAAAATGCCAACAACGCATCACGTGATCATGTCAGGACCATTTCAAACGATTGATTTCGGGTCTACATGAATTAGTCTTAATAAAGTCATTTTGTCTCCACTGTTTTGTTTTCTTCTTATGAGAGGTCCATATGTTTTATGGAGGGTCCTGATACCCCTCCTCCCCCCAAATCTGAGCTCGGTGAGTTTGTTTGTGTTCTCCTACACAGCCTCTGCCAGCAGGAACCACTGCAGTCCAGAACAGCGGAGGGATTTCCTGGACGGAAAATATTCCCATTACAAAGAAAAAGACCTGCAGTAGTACTACAGTAATTTCTGCGTGATTCATATAATTTCTAAATCTAAAGTGTCTTGTTACTTTACAGTAATTTCGGACAGTTATTACAGTTTAGTTTACTAATGCACAGTACTATAGAGTATAGTGAGAGAAATGAAGACGCCATCTGCTGGTTGCGTTTTGAATCGCTATTATTCAAGCGCCAGTGACCGTTTTACAAAGTGGTTTATTACTACAATATAATGACTTACGAGACTATGAAAAATTAAAACTAAATTAAAAACCATGTGAAAAGTCACTTACATCGTCTGTCACTTGGATCACTGTCAGAGTGTTAAGTATAAGGGTTGACACTGCACGTTATGTTGCACAACTTGTGCATCATTTCATTGTTAACCCACGTTTGAAAACAACCAGCAACACTGTTGTCTGTACGCAAAACAGGGTTAATGTAGGATAATATAGTATGAAAGGTAGATGTAGTACATATTTTTGATTAAACACTCATGTGCAAATAAATAAATAAATAAATGAATGAATGAATGAATGAATGAATGAATAAAAAAGGCCATGTCCAAAATATATAATGTTTTTACTGATGGTTTTGACCTGTTCTGAGTTCAGATTTAAACCATATTAAACCGTATAGAGAACATTTGTTCTCGCATTAAAAACAAACTAGGTTGCAATGTTTTTCAATTGTTCAAAGCCATCAGTGCTGAGCACAATACTGACTCTGCTTTCTGTAAATGGCTGCCTACAAGCTGTCCCACAAGACTTTTAAAGAAATCAAAGGAAAAGCTATTCCATACTTAGTTACTTTCTCTATTTGTTTAATTCGTGCTAATTTACTGACCAGTGATTTGTTGTTAAGGCCGTTAAAATATTAATGATTTGCCATTTTGGGCTTGGCCAATTTTTAGGAGCAGATCTTTTTAATATGTTCTATTATAATAGAAACAAATTCATACATTATTTGACATAAAGTGTCTTGAGGAAAACATCACAGAGAATAAATATAGATAAAATGTATTATCAAAAAACATTCGCGTGAAATGTGCGATTTGTTTATTATTATTTTGAAATAAAACAATGTCTCAAATAAATTGCTAATTTATATTTTTTTATATGTGGGGCGTATTAGACCCACGCGAAACCTCTTCAGTTCACGCTCTAAAATACGGTTTAAGTATGTATTTGTTTTTTGTTTTTTTTTGTTTTGTTTTTGTTTGTTTTTGTTTTTTTTTTTCATAGCAATAAAATTAATCTGGTAATAAAACAGTTGATATTAGAAAAACACACTGCCGACTCAACATGAAGCATTTCCGGTAATGTATCGGAAGTGACGCACACAGCAGCTCCGCCCGTTGTGTTGAAGATGGCCCATCTGGAACGAATATCGAGTAGATTTTGATTAATTTTAATGATGTTTCTGCAGTTTGCTGCGTTATTTATCTGATAAAAGTACAGTTTCCATCTGCTGTGTCGCGATACGCCGTAAGGCTGCCTTTGCGGTAAGACTGTATGCACAAAATATACAGCGAGCTGAAACGCACCTGCCAGACTGACTCACTCTCCCTTTAGTAGACTCGGTAAACATCAAGCTGAGTCGCTTAACTGTACGAAATTTAGCGTAAATCTGAACATGGCGTTTGTGCTTATGTGACTACTGAAAACAAAACACAAACACAACGTCGTTATTTTAAAAATCGTCATTGTTTACAGTTCACGAATCTAAAGTAGGCGTTTTATTCGAATTTTCCGTTCCACCTTAAATAGCTACAGTATAACGCCTGCAGGTGCCAGAAGTGGCGGAGTGCTGCCCCATTTAAGGTGGAACAGTAGATTCTAATAAGTGTATAGCGAGTTTTCTGTAATAAACCTGATAACCATGACTTCATCGGAGACAGTTGTTAAGGTTAGCTAGCTAGCTGGTTGAATTTTTGTCTGGCGTGACTGGCATGATGCATACACGAAGCAAGCTAACAGGTTAAAATAAAGTTGCTGGGTAAACTGGGGGAAAAAGTGCTCATCAACGTTTAGGTAATAGCTATTCAGCGGCAGGTGTGTTGTTTTCAGTGTTTATTGGCCTTGCTGGCGAGTTGAGCCTTATTGTGGTCAGCTGTACTCTAGTCTCTACTGATAGGAAAAGAGCTGATCTTATGGTCGTATTAAAGGTTTGATTGTGATTCACAGCCTACAGTTACTTTAAGAAGACTGACCACTTCCTGGCATGTTTTCGGACATCATGGACTACGAGCTGGAGGAAGATAAACTGTAAGTGCTACAGTCATATGCAAAAATTTGAACACCCTAGTCAAATAACATGTTTTGATTTTCTAAGTAAAATCATTTAAGACATATTATCCCTGTGGTGCTTTAATACGTAAGTTTTCTGCAAAACTTAATCTATTTGTTGAATTTACATTACATTAAAATGTAAATGTTCCCTAACCTTGGCACACATTTTATGTTTTAATATTTTTCATAATATGTTAAAGTCAGCTAATAAATGGTGCTTTCTGTAGAGAGTATGTTAATTTCATATTACGTGTATTGTTGATTTTGAGTCTTTTGTTTGTTGGTTTATGGCTGTGTTATTGTGTTCAGTGTGTTGTGTATTTAATTTGTGAAACATTTTGTGATTCTTCTGTATAGTTTTGCTATATACATAAATATTTACTTCCTTTTTTACCACTGGTTAGTTCTTATTATTGCATGACTTTGCATGATCACTTCTTCCAGTGCAAGCCATGTTCAGAAGCATTGCTGCATGAAAGAAAACAACACTGTTGCTTTGGCTCCTCTGCACCTCTAAGTAATAAAATAGTCATGTTCTTTGATAAGACTGTGTTGTGTTTCCCCCTGCAGTGGGATCCCCACTGTTCCTGGCACAGTGACCTTGAAGAAAGATGCACAGAACCTGATTGGGATCAGCATAGGAGGAGGCGCACAGTACTGTCCCTGTCTCTATATTGTACAGGTTAGTGCTGGGCAATATATAATTTACAGTACAATGCCAGAATTGGTACAACAATATCGCTTCGAGTTCTTGCGGTATTGCTGAATGCCAAAGACTGCAGTGTATGTCATTTGAATGATGCTTCAGATTTTTTTGAAAGAACGGTTCAAAATGCATAAAAACTAGATAAACAGTAAGTTTCCTTTCTAGAACGGAAGCAAGACGTATCCATGCAAACTTAAATTTCATCTGACACCATTAATTATTTGGAAAATATATGATATATGAGTTATTCAATACTGTGCAGGACTGGTACATGTAGTCTCTTTTTCTCTGTGCTGATGTGATGCTTATGTTTACTTTTGAGGTTTAAAGTAAGGTGTGGGGTTTGGTAAATTGTTGTATTTGGACTGATGGCGAAATGTGATATATAACAGAAATAGGAGTTTTTATTATTTGTAAAGTGCAGGGGAGAATCAAAGTGTTAGTTTATGTGCCTCTGTGTGTTTGTGGATGTGGGTCAGGTGTTTGATAACACACCGGCAGCACTGGACGGAACGCTGGCAGCAGGAGATGAGATCACAGGTGTGAATGGAAAAACAGTGAAGGGCAAGACTAAAGTGGAAGTGGCCAAGATGATCCAGGCTGTGCAGGTAGAGTGACGTGTGAGAGAAAGAATGAATATATTTATAAAAGGGTTTCAAAAATTGAGAAGACAGAAGCAAATTCTGAAGGACCAGGTTTTCCAGACATAAGTGAAACCAAGTGTTGCGGTATAATGTAATTTCTGTTGACCTTATGATGTATTTAGTATAGTTTGAGAGAAGATATAATCAATGTTTGAAAAACCAAAATATCACTCAGGCACTGTGCAAAAGTCAGAGACCACCCACAAGTTATTAATTTTTCAGTGTCACGAAAAAAAAAAGGAAATATTTATGTAACGGAATACAACAAAACATGTAATAACAACAACCATGTTATAAGTATAATATTAAATCTGTCAGTATGTAATTTGTATACTCTACTGCAACTGTAACTCAGAACTCCCAAAACTCTCCCTGACATTATTCCCTTTTGAATAGACACTAACATTAAAAGAAAGAGACAACATGGGATTCCTAACAACTGAGCAAGGCCTGGTAGACCACCAAAACTGTCATCATCAGATAAACAGCACTTAAAGTTTTTATCTTTGAGGATGAGGAGAAAATCAAACTCTACTTTTGCTTCAGATTTGAAAAAAAAGAATCCACAGGTGTTTCTGTCTGTGCTTCCACTGTGAGAAAACCACTCAACACTATGGGTCTGAAAGGATGTGTAGCTGTCAAGAAAAGACAAAAAGAAGAGTATTTGCTTTTTGTCTTGAACCTGAAAGATGAATAACTTGTACTTGATGGCTGTTTTGACTGTCAAAGAAATACATGGAAGGATGGTTTCTGACATTGCACAGTACTGTTCGTGCCACCCTTGTGCTTCAGGGAACAGAAGTGAAATTGTGGATAAACTCATAACCACTCCTAAAATTTAGACAGAATTGAATTGCCTTTTAAAAGAGGTAAAACAAATCTTGTTAATGCAGTGTCTCTCTATTTTTGCAGGGTGAAGCTGTGATTCACTATAATAAACTGCAGGCTGACCCCAAACAGGGAAAGTCTCTGGATATAGGTAAGGAGAGAGAGATGGGACATGATTGCTCAAGCTGTGTGTCTTGAGAGAGTGCGTGTGCATGCATGAGAATGAGGGACAAACTGATGGGATTAGTGTAACATGATGAGGTGGGGTAATGTTATTTTTACTGGAGATTTTCACTGGTTTTAATCCCATTCAAATCTGTCACATTAGTCATTTTTTAAGAACTATGCTGCTTTATCCAAGATTCCACTGTCTTTTACCTGCTATAAAACAAACCATAGAAATAACCCTGGATTATGTTAATCCTTTGTGCGTTGACATGTTGGTCAAAAAAAAAAATTGCATTGGAGGCACTTGAAAAAGTTTTTATTTGTTTTTGCCTTGGGTTAAATCAAACTGATATGTATTGTCCTATTTCAAGTATAATTCTAAATGTTAAAATGTAAAATGACAGTAAAAAAAAAAATGTAGTGATGCTGACGTTTGGCTGTAATGTTAACAGTGCTTATAACGCTGCGCTCACTTAAGACAGCTAGCTAGAAGGTTTGGGTAAAAGGGATAACAGCTAAATTGAATGGGTCTAAATTGCCTGGTTTCTGCTGTCTTTTAGAGTGAAGGCAGTGTAAAAATCAGGTAGCCTGTCCTATATCAGTCAATCACACCAGGAATTCTTATGCCATGCAAATCGTTTCTGTTGTAAATCTGTTTTACCCTAATATAATCCCATCTCAACAGTACTTTACAAAGAATGAAGTAATGACAGAAAACCTCAGGGGAACCTTAAATGCTGAGTAATATTGTCTAATGTTCTGATCTGCAGGACTGAAAGTGGTTTTGTGTATGTATATGTGGGTAAAGCTGTGTATGTTTCCTCTCAGTGCTGAAGAAGGTGAAGCATCGTCTGGTGGAGAACATGAGCTCAGGAACAGCAGATGCACTCGGACTCAGCAGAGCCATTCTCTGCAATGGTGACCATTTACACTCCTTTATTCTGTTTAAAGGCCGATTTATACTTCATAGATGATGCATGTAAATGAACACTACCAGCAAAAGGTTTAGACGTTTCTGATTGGATGTATTTCAAATTTCCTAGACATTTTGATTTAAAGGCTTCTACTTGAAATGTTCGAAGTCGGTTCTAAGACAGATATTCAATTTCAATGGCAGTGTATGAATCAATGTTCAAAAGAACAGATTTAGTTGTAAACAATATTTTTTAAAAATAAGTTGTTTTCATTTTGCATCTTAAAGTTAGAACCACAATCATTATATAATCCTCATTACAGTGTGTTTCTCATTAAAAGTTTATTCCTTAAGTCCTCATTCACTGTACATTGGGTCTTGGACGCTGCCCCTTTCACACATTCACAGTATGTGAGGGTATGTTGATGGACACCCAGGGGTTAAATTGGGCTGGATCGCACTGGAGCCGAGCTCCAGCACCTTCGATTAGCCTAGATTATTTACTATTGTTTATCCTGTTAAGTCAGTTTGCAAAGCCAGATACAATTCCTGACTGAAAAAGCTAAATTACACATTTGCTCATACTGTAGTTCTGTTGCATGTAAAGATTTTTTAGGTTTTTACCAAATTTAACAGCCTGGTTTAATTATGATGCCTTCTGTTGCTAAATATTCTCAAAGTTGCACATTTGAACTTAGTACGCTGGGTAAAAGTGTTTTAGATTTATGTTGCTAGTCAGCTCTATCAGTTGGTTATACTGGTTAGTAATGTTCTGTAGGAACGCTGGGGTTGCAGGGTTTACAGATGTTTGTGGAAAAAATGGCAGTGAATTGGCTATAAAATGTTGCACAGAGGTGATGTGGTTTATAGATGTTTATGTTTTTGTTCATTTAGATGGGCTTGTAAAGAGACTGGAAGAACTGGAGAAAACTGCAGAACTTTACAAAGGTAAAAATTACTGTTTTTAATTGGTTAATAATGGATTTTTTTTACACTTAAAAAATATGATTTCTCTGTTTTGATTGTATGTGTGCAGGGTTGATGGAGCATAGTAAGAGGTTGCTCAGAGCTTTCTTTGAACTCTCACAGACCCACAGAGGTAAGACATCTCTCAACAGAATTAGGGGAAACATTTCTTGCAGAGTGGTGATGCACAGTACTGTGTAAAAGTCTGACACCACCTTTTGTTTATTTAATCTCCAGTCAAAATGCCTCTAAGTTATTAAGTTTTTAGTGACCGGAAGAAAAAGGTAGAAAATATATTTAATGTGAAATTGTGCTTTATTACAGCTTCCATTCTTTTCAGAAGACTTGCTTTCAGTTTTCCAAAGAAATCTGCAGAAATGTTTTTCCACAACTCCAAAGTTTAGTCTGTGAAGTTGGTTGCATTTTCTGCTTCTTATAATCCTAGTCATTCCAAACACATTGGGTAGTATTAACTCTGGGGTGGGGGGGTCCATTGTTCTGAAAACACAGGCAGCTTCTTTTTTTAATTTGCAAATTTTCTTTGCTTTTCTTGGCAGCTACACATCCTTTTAGAATTTTTTTGTCTGAAGCAAGAATAAAGCTTGATCTGTTAAAGATGAAAGCTTTAGGTACTGTTTATGAAGTAAATGAAAGGTGGTCTCTGACTTTTTCATAGCACTGTACTTGATAATATGTCTAAATGTAAACTCTTCTCTGTTTCTCTCAGCTTTTGGGGACGTTTTCTCTGTTATTGGAGTAAGAGAGCCGCAGGCTGCAGCGAGCGAGGCCTTTGTCAAATTCGCAGAAGCTCATCGTAACATTGAGAAATATGGCATTCAACTCCTCAAGACCATAAAACCTGTGAGAAACTTTATGACTAGGCTAGGGCCTTTCAGTGTGGGCTGTCTGTGGGACTTGTGGGAAACTACACAGATACTTTATCCTGAAACAGTTGGCCAGTCAAATCCAACACATTATATTACACAACCTCCTCTGTTCAGCTCCAACAGTGCTAAGGACAGAAAAAATATGCAAAGCCATCTGCTAACTGTGTTTTCCCTGTCCTGTGACTAGATGCTGCATGATTTAAACACTTACCTGCATAAGGCCATTCCTGACACCAGGCTGACCATCCGCAAATACCTGGACGTCAAGTTTGAGTATCTGGTAAGACGTTCGACAACGAGTGCAAAAGGACCAATAGCTCAGATCATAGGGTATAGTCATTATATATCCAAAACTTGTTATACAGTAACCGATTTGAATTACTCTATATCCATTATGAATTATTCAGTAACTACTATGAACTGTTCAGTATTTTCTATGAACTATACAGTGACTACTATGTGTTATTCAGTGTCTACTATGACTTACTTAGTATCTGGTGTTTATTATTCATTTTTTACTATGAATTATTTAGTAACTACAATGCATTATTCAGTATCTGCTATGTATTATTGAGCATCTGTTATGAACTATTCATTACCTACTATGAATATTTAGTATCTACAATGAACTGTTCAGTATCACTCGGTTATGAGTGAAGAATTACTCTTTATAGTTTTAAGGGGTTAATAAACTCAAAACATTTTAGAGTAGAGATAAAAAAAAAATACATTTTCATGTGTTTCTTGTGCTTTGTGTGTGTGTTAGTCATATTGTCTGAAGGTAAAGGAGATGGATGATGAGGAGTACAGCTGCATTGTGAGTTCCTCGTGTTTTATTTATTCTTATTAATGAAATCAGTATAATTAAAGACCAATCTTTTTGTGGATAAAGGTATCCACACAGTTCTATACTCATGATAGGATGAATGTTTGAACCTGACCACAGATCTAAAATTGACCAAATTTTCATCTGTGACTAGGAGTCCCCGATGAGAGAGTTAAGCATGTTGTCATTAGGAAGGGAAGGTCACAGGATGATTGTTTGCCATGTAATTTTGGGCCTTTCATTTGATTAGGCATTTTACTAAAGTGGTGAACAGTTTTGGAAAAAGTAATTAAATATTTTCACAAGTTAGGTTATTTATGTAGAATTAGTGTGTAATGTTTAAGCTAAAGTTAATGTTTAACTACCATGTGTTTCTGGTAGTAACCCCTTTATGCTTATTCACTTCCTTACTAACATGGCTTGATGCTTTTTTCCCATCATTACGCCATTCCTAGCGTACATGCGGATGTAGCATTTTAGTCCCAACCTTTCCAGAATCTGTGAACATGTGAAGTTATTGCTCCTTTAATATTTTATGGCTATCAGATGATGCATTATGAAATGAATAGTGTGGGCACTGAAAGTCGCCGACTCGCTGTTCTTATTACTCAGGGTTGGGAAACTGTTTTCAAAGTTGATTCAGCTGATTCTGTTTTTAAAGATGCCGTAGTTGAAGTGCTGAACTGTTTTATTTAGAAGGTGAAGGGGGCCCTAATAATCTGTGGTGTGCATGTGTGTGTGTTGTGCAGGCTTTGGGTGAGCCTCTGTACAGAGTGAGCACAGGAAACTATGAGTACCGTCTTATCCTGCGCTGTCGGCAGGAGGCTCGCTCACGCTTTGCTAAAATGCGCAAAGATGTCCTGGAGAAGATCGAGCTACTGGACCAGAAGCATGGTGAGTTTAATATTTGAGTCTGCACCCAGGATGGATTCTGGGTGGAGAGGATCGTTATTGCATTATCGCACTTTCATGAAATCGTGGCTCGGTTGTGTAATTCACGTTTGTTTGTTGTTATTGCACAACGATTAACAGTGTTCCTTCAGTGCTGGATGTCCATTTGCAAGAGTAGCTGAAATCATTGGGCTGTTCTCAGATGAGAATATTTTTAGCTATCCTGGCTGGCGCAAGATGTGAAGCAAACACTTGCATCACTTTCTCTCTCCTCCGTAGACCTAAGCATTCCTTTACCTGCTAGTACAGAACTTGACACTGAAGTAACATGACTATACCTGCAGGATCTTTTTAGCAGTTGACCGATCACAGTTCGAATTGTGGAAGAAGTTTTCTGGCAGAGGTTTTTCGAAGGTAATAGTAGGCAGGGGTATTTTAACCTAACATCAGTATATGTCTAAAAGCCTACCTTCTGTCAGTAAATTTAAGTACATTATTTAGATTGTAAAAAATGTATTTACTTGTAAACAGGCAGGCCAGGTGGGTCCTACAAGAAATTAAAACCAAATTATGTTTCAGTTTGATGGACAAATGGGTAAATATTTTATGTTGTTTGTTGTGCAGAAACATGGTATTACATTCTCAAAAAGCCTACAATGAAAACTACTAACAAAAACATATTAGTTTATGTCATGGCTGCTAACACTATTTATTTTCTGTGTCTTTTTGGCTGTGGCCGTCTAAGGCCTAGTCCACAATTATAATAATATTTTTCCCCTGTTTAAAAAAAAACCAAAAAAAAAAACCTTTGTCTACATCAGCACACCAGACTCTAAATCACTTGCATGAGCATACCAGCCCTGTAGCTGTGATAATATCTCTAGAAAATTCAAGAACACCTCAAGAACATAGTGGCATGAAACATTATGCAAAATATAAAATGTGCCAAAAGCTAAAGAAGAGATTTTGTAACATGAAAGCAGGGTGTTACAACCACTGCAGACTTAACCTGCAGGCCATCAGACCTTCATAATTTGACATTCCCACAGATTCAGAGTCAGATTTTTCTTGGAAATAAAAGCTTTAAAAAGCAAAAGAAGACCTGTGGGTTTGTTTACACCACCACAGCTACAGCAACATCAATCCTGAATCAGGTTTCAAGATGATTGCTACTGTTTAGATAGTAGATAGATAGTATTAGAGATGTTCATTCTGACTAATTAATGAATGGTTATTCTGGAAATTCGGGAAGGGGCTGTAGGCACACAGTCATGATTAGGTGGAAAAGCTGGGTTTTTCTAGCTTTTCTGCCCATTTTAATTGTGAGGTTAGGATTTACTTCAGATCTGACTTTGGTTAATGATCATCAAGTGAAATTTACTTGGAATCATTGAGGTATTTTTAATATTTGCAGTCAAGATGACGCCCCATTTACAAGAGCTGAGTACATTCTGATGCTGCTGCACTACAGTTTAATGAAAAAGTAAATTCAATTCAATTGTAAACATGTTATCAACTACAAAATCACCCCTAAATTGGCACCAAACTAAACTGAAAAGTTTTCTGAAATGTTCAGATACGTGTAGATGGGGAATTAAAGTCAAATATATCAAAAGATTCTTGGCAGTTTGAGCTTTAATTTTCTCCAGTTTTAAACCAGAGTGACGTGACTCAGTGCATCATGTATTGTTAAATTTGGAATTTAGGCTGTGTGAGTTTACAGTTTATATGGGGGATACAAATCTTGTTGAACACGTTGAAAACTTAACAAGACATTTACCTTGTCTGAGGGCGTTTGTGATGTCAAAAACAATACATCTTATTCAAGGAAATAACACGGGATATAAGTCCCAATTTGATGACTACAATTCATTTATTTTATTTTATTCCATTAAAATGTGTAACTGCAACAACTCAGTAAAAAAGTGAGATCTTAACAGTAATTACTGATCAAATAAAGATGTGCTGAAGTCTTTCATGCATGGAACATCTTGCCTCACTAAATATAAACAGGGGCATAAATGATGTAAATGTTGTAGTTACATCGATGCTGTTAAATACAGAAAAGGCCATTTAATATTGTCTGGCCTAGTAGCTAAATAATAGGCCACAATAACAGTAGCATATAGGCAGACTTAACAAGGTAAGCTTTAGCCATTTTATACTTTTAATGAGAAGTAGGCTTTTACTATGAATCTAAAGCAAGAACAACGTTTCTGAGCAGAAACATGAGCATGTTTATTTTGCCTGGTTTAAGTAGACTCCTCTGTGGCATTACTACATTACTTGGTTTGCACAAAAAGAATTACTGTAGGAGAAGGCTGCTGCAGCTATAGATTAAGAGGCTCTTCAGTCTTTAGGTTAGGAAAACCTCTGTCAGTATTCACTTAGGTGGTTTGCTGGTGGCTCAACAAAAATCTGAATTGACCATGAATATGCAAATCAACATATTCTAGCATCAGTGTGGTCAATGATGTAAGCATACAGCACTAAGAGCAGATAGCTTTCACATGTTATTCGGACTGCTCCATTTTCAGGAGGACCAGGAATCGGTTCTCTGGACCAAATGCTTGATCCAGACTGTCTCTGATCTGGAAGAAGCCTGAAGTGTTCCCTTAGAGCGCAGTTTTACTGCAAGCTGGCTTTATGCACTGAATCCCAATGTTCACTGTAAAATAATACTCTTCGTAATGATACTGAAGCTACTGATGGCGATTTGTTGCTCTGTGTTGGTTTTAGGAAACCAAAGCTGGTCTGTTTCCCTTTCAACGTGAGCCTACTCATACAGAATTACAAATAGAAGAAACTGGTGTTAGCTAACATAAGACAAGCTGAGACAAGCATGAAATGAGCATAAATGCAGTGCAAAGCCAGGTAGGGATCTGCTCTGTATCTGTTTACCATGAAAAAGTGTTTAAGTTGTACGTTTGCCTTTAGCTTGCTGCAGACTTTGCTTTAGAACAACAAATAGTTTCTGAGCTTCGAGTAAATATTATTGGTTTATTATAATGTTCCCAGATCTTTGGTGAATGAAAACAAAAGGATGCTAAAACTGATCTAATATGGTCATGTTTTCTAGTATGTATTAATTTTCTTGCTGCTGCTTCATTTTGTACACGCTGTAGTTTTTTGTGGTTGTAGGAAGTCCTGTGAGCAATGCATTGTCATAATTGAGGTGGGGAAAAAGCTAACTGGTACAGCAGTGGATTCTGATAAGGACTTAGCGGTTTCTACACATGGTCTTTTGTCCATTGGACAATGTGCCAACATGTTAGTTTGTCAGAGAAATATACTATTTTCAGTGTTTCTGGATCTAGATAACATCAGCTAGAGTCATTAGCCTAGTGTGCGGTAAAGTTGTGCTACCTCTGACTTCTCAGTCACATCCTTAACATCGCGTCCTTGGCAATGTGCTAATGTTAAGGCACTCATGTTTTATTGTAGCAGTGGGTCATATAATATATACAGTAACGTGCAAAAGTTTCAAAAACTGATAAGAAGCTATTTGCTTGGTCTGTAAGCATATATTTGCTCCATTTTTATGTCTTTTTATGAGCACAACCTCAAACCTTGAGTGGTTAACCAAGTACTCTAATGAAGTACATCCCTAAACAGTGTCATATGGTGTCAGAAACCACATAAGCAAGTCTATAAACAGATCACTTAATGATTCAACACAGGTGGGGCAACTGTTTGATGATTTTCAACCTCTGAAGCTGTGCATTTTAGTTGAGAAACAGCAATGAGTACCATGCAAAAACAGCACACACCATCACAGATGACCATGCAATAAATACATTTGATATTTGCTGAACTGTTGTTTTAAAGTGTTCTTGCTTCCTCTTCCAGTTCAGGACACAGCTACAGCATCATCAATCCTGAATCAGGTTTCAAGACGATTGCTTCTGTTTAGATAGTAGATAGATAGTATTAGAGATGTTCATTCTGACTAATTAATGAATGGTTATTCTGTAAATTCGGGAAGGGGCTGTAGGCACACAGTCATGATTAGGTGGAAAAGCTGGGTTTTTCTAGCTTTTCTGCCCATTTTAATTGTGAGGTTAGGATTTACTTCAAATCTGACTTTGGTTAATGATCATCAAGTGAAATTTACTTGTAATCATTGAGGTATTTTTAATATTTGCAGTCAAGATGACGCCCCATTTACAAGAGCTGAGTACATTCTGATGCTGCTGCACTACAGTTTAATGAAAAAGTAAATTCAATTCAATTGTAAACATGTTATCAACTACAAAATCACCCCTAAATTGGCACCAAACTAAACTGAAAAGTTTTCTGAAATGTTCAGATACGTGTAGATGGGGAATTAAAGTCAAATATATCAAAATATTCTTGGCAGTTTGAGATGTGCTTGAGCTTTAATTTTCTCTAGTTTTAAACCAGAGTGACGTGACTCAGTGCATCATGTATTGTTAAATTAGGAATTTAGGCTGTGTGAGTTTACAGTTTATATAGGGGATACAAATCTAGTTGTACACGTTGAAAACTTAAGAAGACATTTACCTTGTCTGAGGGCGTTCGTGATGTCAAAAACAATACATTTTATTCAAGGAAATAACACAGGATATAAGTCCCAATTTGATGACTACAATTCACTTTATTCATTTTATTTTATTCATTTTATTTTATTCCATTAAAGTGTGTAACTGCAACAACTCAGTAAAAAAGTGAGATCTTAACAGTAATTACTGATCAAATAAAGATGTGCTGAAGTCTTTCATGCATGGAACATCTTGCCTCACTAAATATAAACAGGGGCATAAATGATGTAAATGTTGTAGTTACATCGATGCTGTTAAATACGGAAAAGGCCATTTAATATTGTCTGGCCTAGTAGCTAAATAATAGGCCACAATAACAGTAGCATATAGGCAGACTTAACAAGGTAAGCTTTAGCCATTTTATACTTTTAATGAGAAGTAGGCTTTTACTATGAATCTAAAGCAAGAACAACGTTTCTGAGCAGAAACATGAGCATGTTTATTTTGCCTGGTTTAAGAAGGCTCCTCTGTCGCGTTACTACATTACTTGGTTTGCACAAAATGAATTACTGTAGGAGAAGGCTGCTGCAGCTATAGATTAAGAGGCTCTTCAGTCTTTAGGTTAGGAAAACCTCTGTCAGTATTCACTTAGGTGGTTTGCTGGTGGCTCAACAAAAATCTGAATTGATCATGAATATGCAAATCAACATATTCTAGCATCAGTGTGGTCAATGATGTAAGCATACAGCACTAAGAGCAGATAGCTTTCACATGTTATTCGGACTGCTCCATTTTCAGGAGGACCAGGAATCGGTTCTCTGGACCAAATGCTTGATCCAGACTGTCTCTGATCTGGAAGAAGCCTGAAGTGTTCCCTTAGAGCGCAGTTTTACTGCAAGCTGGCTTTATGCACTGAATCCCAATGTTCACTGTAAAATAATACTCTTCGTAATGATACTGAAGCTACTGATGGCGATTTGTTGCGCTGTGTTGGTTTTAGGAAACCAAAGCTGGTCTGTTTCACTTTCAACGTGAGCCTACTCATACAGAATTACAAATAGAAGAAACTGGTGTTAGCTAACATAAGACAAGCTGAGACAAGCATGAAAAGAGCATAAATGCAGTGCAAAGCCAGGTAGGGATCTGCTCTGTATCTGTTTACCATGAGAAAGTGTTTAAGTTGTACGTTTGCCTTTAGCTTGCTGCAGACTTTGCTTTAGAACAACAAATAGTTTCTGAGCTTCGAGTAAATACTATTGGTTTATTATAATGTTCCCAGATCTTTGGTGCATGAAAACAAAAGGATGCTAAAACTGATCTAATATGGTCATGTTTTCTAGTATGTATTAATTTTCTTGCTGCTTCTTCATTTTGTAAACGCTGTAGTTTTTTTGTGGTTGTAGGAAGTCCTGTGAGCAATGCATTGTCATAATTGAGGTGGGGAAAAAGCTAACTGGTACAGCAGTGGATTCTGATAAGGACTTATCGGTTTCTACACATGGTCTTTTGTCCATTGGACAATGTGCCAACATGTTAGTTTGTCAGAGAAATATACTATTTTCAGTGTTTCTGGATCTAGATAACATCAGCTAGAGTCATTAGCCTAGTTTGCAGTAGAGTTGTGCTAGCTCTGACTTCTCAGTCACATCCTTAACATTGCTTCCTTGGCAATGTGCTAATGTTAAGGCACTCATGTTTTATAGTAGCAGTGGGTCATATAATATATACAGTAATGTGCAAAAGTTTCAAAAACTGATAAGAAGCTATTTGCTTGGTCTGTAAGCATATATTTGCTCCAAAAAGCTAATATTATAGTAAGTACAAATAGTGTTTTTATTTATGTCAGTGTGTTCACGTCATTTCCGAACCTCTGCTCATGGCGGCACTTTATTATTTGTAGTAATCATCGAATACCTGGTTTGGTCAATAAATACATCATACTTAAGTTATGTTAAGTCAAACGTGCAGGTGATGGAATTGAACAAATCCATGTGATGGCTGGGGGCATCGAAGAACCAATCTGAAAATCTGGAACTAAACTTTGTTCTTCCGACTAGCTAGCAAGATATTAACCACACTTTTCTGAAAAAATAAATTCTTGTCAGTATTTATTTTGTTCATGTTTATTTGTATTTATTTTAATGTTATAAAGTGTTTTACTAGCAGAAACACACTTACTGCACAGGTATTACATTTTACAATCTTGCTTAAACATAATCACTGAATTGTTGGCCTACATAATTTTTTTAAGTCTTTTTATGAGCACAACCTCAAACCTTGAGTGGTTAACCAAGTGCTCTAATGAAGTACATCCCTAAACAGTGTCATATGGTGTCAGAAACCACATAAGCAAGTCTATGAACAGATCACTTAATGATTCAACACAGGTGGGGCAACTGTTTGATGATTTTCAACCTCTGAAGCTGTGCATTTTAGTTGAGAAATAGCAATGAGTACCACGCAAAAACAGCACACACCATCACAGATGACCAGTCAATAAATAAATTTGATATTTGCTGAACTGTTGTTTTAAACTGTTCTTGCTTCTTCTTCCAGTTCAGGACATCGTGTTCCAGCTGCAGAGGTTTGTGTCCGGGATGTCCCGTTACTATGACGAGTGCTATGCCGTGCTGAAGGAGGCAGACGTGTTCCCCATTGAGGTAGACCTGTCCCGCACCATGATCAACTACAGCAGCCAGAGCCAGTCCTACGAGGATGATGAGGAAGAGGAGGAGGAAGAGCGGGAAAAAGGGGAGGGAGGCGGCTCTGCAGGTCAAGCAGAGAATGGGGCTGAGAAACTAATAGATGATGAATGAGTGAAGGAAAGAACTGGACAGTGGCTGAGAATGAAGTGGAGAAACCAATGAATAAACCTGTCCTGCTGAATGAATGAATGAATGAATGAATGAATGAATGAATGAATGAGTGTGTGAATTAACAGCTAAGTCAGTGAGTAAGTGTGTCTCAGTGTGGAGAAACACAATGTATGAATGGTGTAGATCGTTGTGGAGGGAAATGCTTGAGTGAATGTGTGAAAAACAACACTGTTGTTACAAAGAGATACAGTCGTCTTTATTTGTACTTCTTTGGCAAAATCACAGCAGATCTTTTATTTTCAATTAGCGTAGTTACTCAGTTCTTTGTAGAATGATACATTTTAAACTGCCTCATAAAATCAACACCCAAGGGACTATCTTAGATTTTCACTATACATATTTAACTTCTCTGAGCATCTTTCTTCAATCTGTTTTGTAGTTGGATTTGAGTTGGATTTATCTCCCTTGGGCCACAAATTCTATGGATGAGTGAAAATGTTTTGATCAATATTGCCCATCAAGTACAAATCAACAGAGATTGATTGTGTATGACTGAACAGTTGAGGATTTCCTCAAGTGGTTTGGGTGCCTTGAGTCCTAGATTTCACTGCATTACATATTCGAGTGAAACTGCAGTAGTGAGTTCACTCATTGTTAGCTAATCATATTTGACGGTCATGATTTGCATGGTTATCTGAAATAATTGGTAATTAAGACATTTCTTTTTGTTGCTGAATTCAGAAGTTGATTTTGTCATTGAAAGATAGACTTTCTTTGCACACACTATGCAGATAGCAGTGCATTCTGGACCAGACCAATGGCTTTCAGTTCCAAAATTGTTCAGATTTGTTCAGTTTTAATGGCTACATTTTTGTTTTCTTTGGAAGTGAAACGTTTTGATTCCGTTTTTGTGGTTCCTCTACTCACTGTGGCAGAGTAGCTGTCTACAACAGGCTTGCACTATCCAACTCCTGGACATCTACTGGCCCACAGAGTTTATTTCCAATTCCTAATGAAGTATGTAGCTAAGTATGTTCGGTTCAGGTTGGAGTTCATGTTAAAATCCAGTTACATTTTGTAGGAAGGCTGTTTGGATAAACAGCTGTGATCTTGTAAACTGAAACATACTCTATTTAAAATTGAAGGGATGTGTATTTATCTGCATTTATTTATTTGATTATTATGATGTTTAACACTTTGTTGAAGAGGACCTAAAAAGTGAAAAGTTACTAAAGCAGTCAGCTGCTGTGCTAAACTGTTTGACTGGATAGCTTTATTTAAAAAAAACCCTTAGTTAATGAACACTGGAGAAGTTTGAACCTTTGTCTATGTAATGAATTTCTCTGTTATTTTTACACTGGTTTATTCTCTTTCTGTTTGGGGTGCTTTGAAAATGTGTGGGATTCAGCCTCTATTCAGCCTTTTGTGTGTCTGTGAATGTTACAGAGACATTACCATGGTGGGAAAATGTACTACAGATTTATGTAACTTCAGAAAGTATATTAAAAATACATTAAAAATATTTGTTGCAAACAAAAAAGCGTTAACGTGTTTAAAGCTCAACACACTTTCTGCACACGACTTACTGCCTTTTATTCCATATGCAGGCGACTAACAGATTACTAATATAAGGGAATCACAGTAACGTTGTAGAAACATCGCCCACTGCATTACAATGTTGTCGTGTTTATTGAAATAGCGCAGTACATCAGAATGTGGAGTCGCTTTATAAACGCCCCGCCCCTCGAGCTTATAACGCCGCCCCAGTGGCCTAATGGATAAGGCACTGGCCTCCTAAGCCAGGGATTGTGGGTTCGAGTCCCATCTGGGGTGAACAGCTTTTCTTCGACCTACTTTCAATTTGTCTTTTTGTGATTTACGTTTTGTTTAACCGCTAAAATAGGACACATTAACGAGATAATCGGCGAAAGTCATAACGCCTCGGTGACGAGGAAGCTGCTCCACAGGCAGAGATTTTCCTAGACCACTTTCAGTTCTGCTCCGTGTTTTTGAAGAGCCTCAGTGCAGAAGTGAAGTGCGTCCTGTCTGTGACATTAAAACAATGACAGGCATGAAAATATCTGTTTTCATTTTCGCCTGTGTAACATTATGTGGAGCCGTGGTGAGAGCTGAAGGTAAGTTACCTTTACTTCATTTGTCCTTCACTGCGTTAAGTCCATGTTGTTTACGCTTGTCTGGAGACGGTGCCTGAGCTTCTGAACTTCTGAACTAGCTGTGAAAAAACAAGATTGTTTTTCGACATAAGTTGTGACTGCAAATGGTTAAAAAATCTCAGAACTGTAGTCAAGTCGGTGTTGGGTGAATATGTGGGTCTATCCACAAATAAAGACCTTTTCGCTTCGCCCGCAGAGCTGATTTAAGATGAATGCTAAGCCGATTTGGCTAAACATTGCTGTCTGTGTTTAGCGGTCTTACTCAGGTAGAGTAATGCTGACCATACACTAGAAGACTTTGAAAAGATTTTTGAAAGACTAAAGTCTGACACCCTCTCACATCTGAAGACAGTGTCACGTTTTTTAGTCACAGAATATGATTTTGCGAAGACTAGGAATCTTGCAATGTCACTATTTACAAGACTGCAACTAGATTTTTTGAGATTATTCCCCATCATGCACCTGGTGGAGATTTACAAGCAGAGAAACACTTTTCCCTCCACTATGTTGTGGTACAGATGGGAAGATGCGCTGGCTGGGCGTGTTTAAGATCTGGGGCTCAGCTCAGTTCACTGTAGAACTGTATATTCTGGCAGATCATCACCCAGAATCTTTTAATTAACCTGTAAAATGTGCAGCTACTTTTTAAATTTGATATAAAGATTTACACATCAACACAACACGCAGCGATTCAGCATTGTCGACTGGGTGTCATGAACTAAACCATAAGAAACAAACAAACAAAATAAGAAACCACTGTAACAGAAAACGGAAAAAAATAGAAAACAGTTGATCGTTCTTCAGTGATGGCGTTCTTAAATATTAAAACAGTTTACATTTTAAGTTAATATGATTATTGTACTGAACTGCCGTTTTTTACTGAGATTTCAGGCAGTCATGCCTGCATATATTCTCTCTCTCTCTCTCTCTCTCTCTCTCTCTCTCTCTCTCTCTCTCTCTCTCTCTCTCTCTCTCTCTCTCTCTCTCTCTCTCTCTCTCTCTCTCTCTCTCTCTCTCTCTCTCTCTCTCTCTCTCGCCCGCAAGCACTCACGTGCGCCCCTGGCACTTCACTATTTGCATGAGCCAAAACCTACGATAATATTAAACACGGTTGATTTTGTCGCAGCGTCAAGACTGACTTAAGACCTCCATCTTGACCACCTTACACCAAACGATCGAGATGACGCGAGCGCGACGCGACTCTAACATGACTCTCAGGATTTTATTCCGACATGGATTTGTCTGCGACAGTGAAATCGCTTGAAAAGTCGTTTGGTGTAAGGCCGGCAGAAGTCTGCCTGAGGTAAAAGTGGTGATACTGCAGTGACTCCTGTAGAAGTTAGAGTAGCTCCCCAAACCAAGTTAACTAAAGATTCAGGTCAAAAACTGCTTAAAGGGGAATCCCAACAAGTGTTCAAACCACCTGCATAATTCAGTCATTAAGGTAGTAGTCATGAGGTAACAGTCATTCAGAGTATTCTGATTTAATTCATTAGAGAGAATCAGTGGTGGTGATAGGAACTAGGTGTCACGGTGCTACAACACAAATATAGCCATTAGATTTACTATCCAGAATGATCTGTACAACTACGTATCTTCTAAGCTTCTACATGTAGTGCTGGTCTTGTTAAAACAGTGGTAAATCTGAACAAGCTTTCTTGGGAATTTTGCCTTCCAACACCCTGTATGTACCTTTCCTTCATGAATGGATTAAAAAAATATATAATTTTTCACCACAATCTGGTGCATGGTGACAAAATCACAACTCAGAAGACATTTTAGAGGTGGTAAAAACTCTACATTTGGTAGAAGATTACAGGGAAACAAGAAGTTTGTCTTTTAAATCATATCAAGCATGATTTATCTTATCATATAACCAGGAACATAAATTAAACAGTGTAGAAATGGTCCATTTTTATTTCAGGTTCACTTTAAAGGTGCAGAAGAGTGTCTTATAATTTCCACACCTACTTTTAAGCCTCCAATTTGTCCTGTCTAATAGGTATGGTTTCCAAAATTGAGTGAAATCATTCAGTTTGTGACTGCAATAGCTGTAGATCAGGAGTAAGACTTGCTTTGTATAGGGCTGAATGATTTGAAGAAAATATCTAAATGCAACTTTCCTGACCAGCATTGTGACAGTGATTAAAATTGCAGTTATTTTCTATAAATTGAGGTCCAGGCCTGTTTCATGGCCAAGAACACCAGTACGTCCAGCTTTTAGAACACATGGTCAGCCTAAAGGAATTGATTACTTGTTAAGACACTTTTGACAGCGTAGACTAAAATTAGAATAGCAGTTCTTGTGGAAAAATTGCACCCTTTTAAATCGCAGTTTCGATATAAAATGGTTAATCTTTCAGCCCTACTTGTGTGTTTTCTTTTGCACCTGTTAAATGTCATTTTACATCCTCATAACAGTTCCTTTCTCAGTGTGGAGAAAAAATTGCTCATTTAGAGTGCGTCTTTCATTAGTAATGCAAAAGGGGAAATGTTTTCTGTATCAGAAAAGGAAGTGTGTCTGTTAGAAATGTGGTTGAGTTCTAAAAATTTGCTGAACAGAATTTTCCATAAATTCAAACACCTAAGTATATATAACATTTAAAAAATGACACAGTGACTCTGGGGCATTTAAGATGCTGATACAAAAGCTCATAGGCAGAGCTCTTTTCTGCAGTGGTCAGAGCTTCCTATAATAACCTATTACTAAGGTATGTGGTCAGCCATGTGACCAGCAGCAAGGCAGTTATACGAACCTAACATGTATGCCACAAACTAAGTGTGAAAATATTACCCTGTTTAGTGTGAAAGACCTACATTTGGACCGCAAACGCAATACAACGACTGGCCCAGAATAGCTGTGTGTTGACTGACCAACCGAGGCTTAAATGACATCCTAGCTGTTGCTCAGTGTGTTGTTTGAAATGCAACTCTATTCTTGTTCTCACATCAATATGGAGTGGAATTCATGACAAATCGAAAAGCTCACTATGGTGGAAAAGCATGAAATGCAAAGCACTCAAGACATTACTTTTCCATAGTGATATGCAGAATATATGTCAATATGAAAAGCAAAACCTTTATTACATTGTTTTCACGTCGCTTGTCCTCTTTACTGAAAAACATGAGGAATTGCATTTTAAAAAATGTTGAATTCATGTTAGAATTGAAATTATACTTAAAATGCATTTGCCTCACTGAAATGCAGCCAAAACTGTGAAATGCAAAGTATACATATGATTGCTTTTAAACAGCAACAAGTACAAGATCCACTACACAGACTTAGCGTTGTTTTAAGTATTGCACAGTGGAAAGCAATATAACTCGTGCCTTTATTAGGCTACATTTTAAGGTGGATTGTATTAATTTCTTACATAAATTCAGCATTTCCTTTTTTTTTAAATGCAAATCCTCATGCATTGTTTTTCATTAAAGAGCTCAATAGACATGAAAACAGTGTAATAGAGGGTTTGTTTTTCATTTTGGAATAAATTCTGCATGACACCATGGAAAAGTAATGATATGTATGCATTTCATTTCATGTTTGTTCACTGTAATTACTGCTTTCTAGTTTGGCATGAATTGCTCTCCACAAAGTTTTCCTGAGTTTTTGCCACATACAGTTTTATGCAAATGTTTTGGCATCCCCTGGCTAAATTACATACTTTGTTGATTTTTAAAGTGAAAAGGAGTAAAAATGTTCACAGCAAACTATTTTAAAAATAACAAATTTCTGCAAATGTTCATGCACATTTAGTTAAAAAGGAAACAGAATAAAAAAAATAGTAATTGTGGCATATACAAATGTTTAGGCACCCTGCTAAGTCAGTACTTATCAACACCCCCTTTGACAGACATCGCAGCTTGCAAATGTTGTTTGTAGCCAGCTATGAGACTTTCTGTTCTTGTTTTAGGAATTTTCACCCACCTTTTCTTGCAGAACACTTCTAGTACTGCATTTTCCATGGGGCGTCCTGCATGAACAGCGTGTTTAAGATCTGTCCAGAGACTTTTAATGATGTTCAAGTCCAGGGAATGTGAAGGCCTTTCCAAAAGCTTCAGCTTGCATTTGTTGAAGTAGTTAATGGCGGTGTTTGAGGTGTGTTTTGGATCATTGTCCTGTTGTACAAGCCAGCCTCTTGGTGTGGCGTGCAGTACCAGTTTGGTGTGAAATGCACCATTTTAGGAAAAGTAACCAAGTCAGCATTGTTGACAGTGGTGGTAATAGGAGCCAGACATCTGAGGAGTTTGACTCACCTAAATTCTGTCACACTTGCTCAATGCCTGAGAAGATGTTTTACGATAGTTTTGCAAAACATTTTTTAGGAAATAAAAGAGCTGAATATAGTGTGTACAGAGCTAATTCACATACATTCACAGTAAGGCACAGTAACAAAAATAGCCTGTTTAATTATAAAGGGCAAAAAAGAAGTTGGTAAATGGTGATGTGAAAATGAATCAACACGCATTTTCTAAACCGCTTATCCTTCTGGGTGGCGGGGGGTGCTGGAGCATATCCCATCGGTCATAAGGCGGAATGCAGGATACACTCTGGACAGGCCGCCAGTCCATCGTAGGGCAGACAGACAGACAGACATATACATTCACACACACATTCACACCTAGAGGCAATTTAGCGTGTCCACCTGGCCTGACTGCATGTCTTGGGACACATTCTAAGCAGAGGTAAATTATAAAATACAAGAAAAATGTAAGATATAGGCCAGTTAAAATCTATTCATGGCTGATGGGTACATGTGGAAGGTTGTGAGGCAAAATAATACCCAACAAAACATATATTTTTAGATTTACCACTATTTTACCATCAACTTAACATATAAAAACTCCAGTGCTTTTGGATATTAAATAAAATGGCTATATTTGTGTTGTAGACATTGTGACTTCTGGTTCTTATGACCACCATTGTGGAGAAGTCTGAGTCAGCCGTTTTTTAAAAACTTGTCTGTGTTTTTTTTCCCCCAAATGCTACAGTAATGGCTGACTGTGTCATTATCTGACTCATGGACTGCTAAACATGTGCACTCAATTTAGCGACACACTTGACAATAACCACCTCAGTGCAAGTATGAAGTTGCCGTTTGACGATATTATTGCAGTGATAATTGTTCAGGTCTGTTTTTTTTTACTAGCCATTCAGTTGCACTGGCTCCTGTCTGAATCTTTAATAAGATTTTGTGGCTCTCTTATTGTGTTCCTCACTCAGGGGTACTGAAGGCCACTGTCTACTGGAACGCAACACAAAAGTCCGTGTCACTGAAAGAGGGTGTGCTGGATAAAGCGGGCGATGCTTACGGTTACTATAATGACTCATTCTCCTCCACGGGATGGGGAGTGCTGGAGATCCGTGCGGGTTATGGAGAGACTCCAGAGCCAGATGCCATCACGTACTTCCTGGCTGGGTATTTGGAGGGGTTCCTTACTGCCCGGTAAGTGGACACAGATACAGTTTGTAAATAGGAGTCACACTTATACTTACTGTGTAATTCATTACTCGTAATCACCCCTTACCCAAAGATTACTCCACTGAATAGGCTTGTACTGGGCAATATATCGTTTATACAGCTGTACCAATTCTGTTGTCACACTGTGATATTGATTTTCACTTTCATAGATGACTAGCATTATATTTATGACTTTATATTCCATACAGTGGCATAAATGTTTTTTTTTTTGTTTTTTTTTAGTTTGTTTTTCAGTTTTTTAAAAGTGTTAACTACAGTGTATGTCATTTTGTAGGTGCCTTGAAAGAACAGTTTTAAAGACGTAAAAATGAAATAGATTGAGGTTTCCTTTCTGAAAATGTGTTTTTTTTTGCCTGGTTAACATTTACAGTGCTGTGTAAGACAAAACAGCAAAACAGTCCATTCAAATAAGCTGTTTTGGGCTTGTAAGACTTTCTTATAGCATAGAATAGCAGCACTCAGGAAGCAAGTGGACCTTTAACCTTTCTTAATGTTAATCATTAATATCATCTGATGTTGTGGTGTAGTAGTTCAGGTTCAGAAGGTAAAAAATCATTTTTTTATTCAAACTTCTTGTCCTCTGCTGCTAGTTTGAGCTAATTAGAGAAGCCAATTGGATTTTTTTTTAGCTGAATTTTCCACTTCAGTAAAAACATGTCCAAGAGGGACCTAGTGAGAGCACTAAGGAATTGGTGCTCTATCATCAATGTGACTGTGTAATTGTTTTTTGTCTGCAGGCAGATGTATGACCACTTCACCAACATATATCCACAGATTATAACGGAGCAAAAAGTTCTGTTGGCAGTGAAGAAGTTCATGAAGTAAGTGTGTTTCTTCTCAAAACCTCTCCACTGGGCCCCACAGAGCTGAATTACAAAGCTAACATTAGGGTACATCTCTGTGTTCAATAGACAATAATGGTTAGAAAATAAAAATACATAATTAGCAGTCAATAACAGTTAGAAAATCTGCTTCTCAGTTGTCTCTGCTCCAGTTGGTCACTCTAGCAAAGTGTGTCAAATTGGATTCCTTGCAGGCCACAGCTCTGCAATGATTAGTGTTTTTTTCCTTTTCTAACACTCTGAATTCAACCCATGATGGCCTTGCTAATGAGCTATTGAGTCAGAAGCAAGGAGAAACACTAAAGTTTTCAGAGATGTGGCAATTTTAGGCTCAAATAATCTGGCTAACTAAAATCTTTTAATGTGAGACACTACACTGCTTCCACTTCTACATAGACTACAGAATAGGGGTTGTGGACTGTCCTGCTTTTTTATGTGGGCCAAAGAACTTTCGCCAGCCTATCACTGTTTCCATTTGTGGGATGAATGTTATCTTAGTGTCACAGATATCCTACTACCACAAGCAAGGCAATGAACATAAACTGTACTTGACCCCTTAATGATCGATTTAAAGGAGAATTCCATTTTTTTTTCAAAATTTCTGCATAATTAAATGTGTAAGATAAAACACAGTGGTTTAGAGTGGTTTGATGTGAAATGCTCTGTTCTAAAGAAGCTTACTTTCAAAATTGTTCACAGTGGTGGTGATAGGAACCAGACATCTGAAGACTTCAGTGCTACTAAAAGCTCCCTCACAGAAAGTTATCTCATGAAAAGGTTATGGATACGCTGCCTGAGACTTTATTTTATAATAGTTTCGAGATTTGATTTGGGCTTAAACATATTTTTTAATGCATTCATTGTGGGGAGTTACGTGCAGAATGTTATAAGGCAAAATAGTCCCCAGAGAAGACATATTTTTCAGATTTATCACTATTTATCTGTTGTCAACATGACATCCCCTAGTCTTTATTTACTTTATTACTTGATTGTATTTCTAGTCTCTAGTATCTACTATTCTATCTTCTAGGGTTATCTCTAGTTTTCACTGTATGGAAATGTTTTTGTTATTAGGAAACAGGATGCGTGGGCTCGGCAGCAGGTGAAGCTGAAGAGCAGTGATCCTTTCTGGAGCCACACCGGCTTCATCTTGGCTCAGACGGACGGGCTGCAGGCTGGTGTGGCAGACTGGGCTAAACGCATGGGGAGGAAGGTGAGGGGAAGAGAATGCGGATGGAGAACGGTCATAAAGTATAGAATTATTGGGGCAATACGTTTACAGGATGCCATACAGTCAAACGTGTAATATATTAATAATTTAAATGCACTATTGGAAACATTGCTTAAACAATATCAATACAATACAGCATTTTTTATGGCTCCATGTTTGGAGGCATTCCATGGTTCATAGAACCTGTCAGTTGATTGGGTATAAAAACAATAAATGTTCATGATGTAAACCCACATACATATAAAGATATGACAAAAATTAAGCAAAAAAGGACTTAAAGGGCAAAAATGTCTGGCACAATATTACCTTCACAGTAAAAGGCAGTGATCTGAGAGTTTTAATTCTAATATGGTTTAATAATAACAGTTCATATTGCTCTGCAGTGCCCCATATCCTTAGACTATTTTAGAATTTCTTTATTCTCTCTAGCCAATTTATAATGCTCTAAAACCTTTTGGTGCTGTTGTTATATTAGGCAAAAACACTGTAAGTTTCTTACTCTTCTGAACTTACTTGTTTGTTTAATTATCATAGTCTTTAATGGTATAAATAAATCTTACATAAATCTATGCCAAGGGTTTTACACCTGGTCACGTTACATGATTCTAAGTAAAATTAACACATCCTCTACAGCGAACAAATGTACAAGTTTAACATATTGTGAAAAAATGCAACATAGAATATCAAATGTGCCATATGTTTTGTACAGGCCACATTTTTTTTTTCCCACTCACTCCAATATGTTAAAAGCAAATAACCAGTAATTCTGTGCTTAAATGTTCAGAAGTGTGTTCTCTGCAGAGGACAACAAAACACATGTTTTCTCCAGGAGTGCTCAAACAATTTACTGGTTAAGAACCGCTGACTTAAAACATGTATACATGCTGGATAACCTTGCAGTGTTCTTACTAGGTTTGTCACGATAATGAAATTTTAGCTGACAATTAATTGTCTTATGAATAATTGCAATTAAGGATTTCTTTTTTGTTCATTTGTTGCTGTCTTGCTTTCTAGCTGTCTTTTTCCTTTGTAGCTACCACTAGATCATACTGATATGAAATGATACACTGCGCTGTAGTGCTGATGTGCACAGTCTACAGTCAAGTTTCAACACTTGTTCTGCACGCAAACATACAAAAGTTAGCGTTAGCTATCCATATAACAAACAAAACCCCCAAACATTTCCTTAAACGTGTTTTAGCACTCAGTTAAAAGTTGTGAACGTGCACTGGGTTTAGAACGTCTGTGAGACCCATAGCTTGTCTCAGTGACTTTCCCACTTTCATTTTTTCTCAACAAAACTGATGAAAATGCATCCATTTCATAGTTTGCCTGTGATGTGATATGAGAAGTGACTGGACAATAATTACGGTCAGCTTAAATAATTGCGATCAGGCGATTATGTAATAATTGTCAGGCTAAATTCTTACATCTTTCTTAAAATATGGGAAACATTCTATATAGTGACTGGGTTTAAGACCGTCTCATGACTCAACAAAAACACAAACATTTATTTGTTAATTTATTGTATTGTATGCATTTATTTATTAAATAATTTGCTTAGCAGATACAGTCGTACGCAAAAGTTTGAATACCGCCAGTCAAACTACATGTTTTGTCGTAGTGACAAGCTAACACACCCTCTACAGAGAACAAACTGAAGTGTACAGTTTTTCTGGAACTTTGGTTTGCAATTTCTATCAGTTTGCTAAATGTGCCATATAAACATAAATAAATAAAACATGAAATATTAAATGAGCCATAACATTTTTGTTTTATTTTTTCCCAATATGTTAATTTCAGCAAATAAACGGTAATGTACAAAATGTAAATTAAATGTATTAAAATGTGCAGACATGTGCTCCCTCTAGAGGATGTGTTAATGTATTTTCACTTTGAAAATCAACGAAACATGGAACCTGACCGGGGTACCCAAACTTTCACATACGCCATGTAAACGCGTCTATTGTGTAGTTGCATGTTTGTGTAAATGAGAAGAGAGCATTAGTAGCGTTAGTATCGTTCATCCATAAAATCTCACGGTGGTTAAGCATTACATAACACTTTACTGAGCACTGTAACTCCCATTTAGCCTGAACTGTAAGTGTAATTGTGTCTCTTTCTCTCCCTGTAGCCCCTGTCTCTGTTTGAGGTGCAGTTTCTGAATGCTGTGGGAGATCTGCTGGACCTGATCCCTGCACTGGTACCTGGAGCTAAAGTGAATCTGAAACACTATAAAGAGCCACCCATGGGTCACTGCTCCGCTCTCATTAAGGTAGACCTGCACTTTAGAACCATGACAGCCAGTCAGCTGATGAGTGATCATGAGGGTCCAAAGTATTAAACCCAGTTTTACACACAGTGCTGACTCTCAGTAACAATAATGCTTCAAAGTATTCACATCAGCATGTTTTATGCTACACCTTATCTCAGATTGGTTGAGGTGCCTTAAATACAGCGACCAACTAGTTTATTAAGTTCACCTTCTTGCATCCATTTTATCTGGTTGACTTACTATATACGTGCACTTTTTAGTTCTACAATTACAGTCCATCTGTTTCTTTAACCCCTTTCACCCTGTTTGTCAATGGTCAGGACCCCACAGGATCATCACAGAGCAGGTGTTATTTGGGTGGTCGATTATCGTCAGCACTGCAGTGACATTGGCATGGTGGTGGCGAGTTTGTGTGTGTTGCGCCGGTATGAGTGGATCAGACACAGCAGTGCTGCTGGAGTTTTTAAACAAAGTGTCCACTCACTGCCCTAATAGACACACATGGCTTATTGGTCCATGTTGTAGATGGTGCACAGATTGTGTTGGCCATCCTCTAGTCCTTCATTAATGGTCACTTCTGGCTGGATATTTTTGGTTGGTGGACTATTCTCAGTCCACAGTGACACTGAGGTTTTTAAAAACTCCAGCAGCCCTGCTGTGTCTGATCCACTCTTACCAGAACAAGACACTCTAACACACCACCACATCAGTGTCACTGCAGTGCAGAGAATGATTCACCACCCAAATGATATCTGCTCTGATGTAGTCCTGTGGTGGTCCTGACCATTAAAGAACAGGGTAAAAGGGAACTAACAAATGAAACAGATATATAGTAAGTTGAACTGATAGGATGGAAAATGAGAATAGAAACAGGGAAGTATACTTAATGAAGTGGCTAGTTGGTGTATACAGTACCAGAAATGTAAACACCAGAGGCCACCTTAAACACAGCTTGTTTTACATGAGGAGATGGGGTAATGTCATTTTTATCAGTGTTTCTCAGATATTTCAGTCCTGCTTGAATGCGCCATGTCAGTCATCCAGTCAGTACAGATTCTGCTGCCTTTTACTTAATATATACAAGCAGTAGAAATAACAAGGTTATGTTAACCCTGTGTGAATTGACATGTCACTATTGATGATATTTATTCTGTGAAAAAGGAGTTTTCTTAAGGATACAGTGTGTCTAAGATCAAACCGATATTTTCTATTTTACCTTGTGTACAACATGTACAAGAATATTGAAATGCAAAAAATGACAGAAATAAAATGTTGATTTTATGCAGCACTGTTGACTCTTGACTAATAATAATGGCAGTAACACAGTGCATTCACCTAAGACAGCAAGGTTAATGTTTACGGTAAACAGAATAACAGTTAAATTATTTTCTTTTTTTTAATGTCTTCTTTTCTTTTCTGCAGTGAAAGCGCTGCGTAAATCGAGTAGTCACTTTTGTCTCAGGCATTTATACCAAGATTTCTTATCACATGCAAATTGGTCATAACTATTAGACATCATGTGGTAAAACATTTAGTTTATATTTATAATATTGGAATATGGGCACTCAAAACGAGTAACTGCTGTCCTGTTTGCTTAGAGGTGTTTTCAAACAAAGCTTTGAATCTCAACAGTTTACACCATCATTTTAGACTGAACACAGTGAATGTGTATCCATACCTGATATGTATCTGAGCCAGATCTCCACTTCCAGTTTACAGTCGTGGTGGAGTAGAGGAAAAGTAGTCACTGTTGTTCTCATGGACGTCACTGATAACTTTAAACTTCATTCACCCTGTTTTATGTTCAACTTGCATTAACATGATTTTCATATTCAGTTCATGTGAGCTGTTAAGTTATTGTAGGTAGAAATACATTCTTTGCTTACTTTGTCCACTCATAGAGCTCCTACAGAATGCACTGCTTTTTAAATTTAAATGGAACAAAATCTTTCTTTACTCAATTAAGTACTCAAACTAATGTGATTCATCAACTAATTGCTTTACAGTCCTAATTTTTATATTTTAATTTAAAAAGTATCTGAATATATCAGGGACACCCTGTCTAACCCAGAGGTAAATGGGGCAGTGTTGGCCAGATGGTCATTATCAGCTGTAGTTCCCGAGGCTCGATGTAACTGGCCAAAAACAACTAAACCAATAAGCCAATTCAAATAAACAGAGCTAAAAATATTACGTACAGGCAAACTAATATTATAATTAACATAAAGCACAATACAAACAAAAGAGATACATTTTTTTTTCCTCAAATGTATCTAGAACACTCAGCTAGTGTGTTGCGCTTGCTTGAGAACTTGATTTTGATAATAACTATACATTGTGTGTGTCTGTGTGTGTGTGTCTGTGTGTGTGTGTGTTGCAGATGTTGCCAGGTTATGAGAATGTGCTGTTTGCTCACTCTAGCTGGTACACCTACGCCGCCACTCTGCGCATCTTCAAACACTGGGACTTCAAACTGAGTGAACCTCACACAGCCACAGGGAAACTCTCCTTCAGCAGTTATCCTGGTGCGTGCAGAAACCTACCTATGCATGCGCTCACACACACACACACACACACACACACGCAATTATTCAGCATATAATGTATTTATACCCTGTGTGTACCCTGTGTTTGATTTGTGTGTAATTGCTTTAGCGTAATAAACCTGTGTTTTCCTGCATATTTTGTTGTTTTCTCTATTCTGCCACACCTGTTGCAGTCAGTCGGGTTACTAACCCTGCCAAACTAGGGCTGAGTGTGGCTCAATTTTTTTCTGATACTTTGACTCCAGTAGACCACTGAACTCATGTTGAAATTCTGTAGTCGAGTGACATGCAGTGGAAAAATGTGTAAAGGATAAAGTTCTGGGTTTAGAACCTTTTTTCTGTAAATTTATAAATCACATTCATTTTTGCTATAAAAAATCCAGCTTAGATCCGGAGTTCATAATGTACATATTATATAATACCAACTATAGAGTGATGCGCTACTTCAGTGGTCTATACCGGTTCCTGATGAAGTGCATTTATATGCCACTTAAAGGTGCCGTTTTTCACTATTAAAGAGGACCTAAAATTATAAAATTAGAGTTTTTAGTGATTTTAAGTAGATTAACAAAAAAATAAAAATTGCAGATGCCACATGCACACACACTCCCAAACTGATGTGTAGTCACATAGTTTTGTATCTGATGTCCCGCAGGTTTTCTGGTGTCTCTGGATGATTTCTATCTGCTGGGCAGTGGTTTAATGATGACCCAGACCACTAACAACATCTTCAACGCCTCTCTGTACAGCTATGTCACCCCTGCCAGCCTGTTTGCCTGGCAGAGGGTCCGACTGGCCCATGCGCTCGCCCACAATGGCCTGGAGTGGGCTAAGGTCTTTGGCAGGTACAACTCTGGTGAGAAAATGCCTATTTAACTGGGAGTTACATAGTTAAACAGTTTATCTGATTATCGTTTCCAGTCGAATGCAAAAGTTTGGCCATCCCTGGTTAAATGATATGTTTTGTTGATTTTCTAAGTGAAAGTAACACATGTTAACAGTTGGGGACTGTTCAAACTTTGCATACAGCTGTGTATACAGGTTAGGATTTAATTACAGTTCTACCAAATTTGATGTCCCTCATTTTTTATGACCTTTAATACCCCTAATGGCCTAGCTATTGTATGTTTTGCTGATTTTTTGAAGCTTTATGGCCTGTCCAGCTGTTGAATAGCATTACAGATACAAGCTTAATAGGTGTTTAAAATACAGATTAAAAAAAAAAACACATTTGTTCAGCCCATGACAAACATGTTGGGTCACTTTTTATATTAAACATTTATATAAATAAAGATTTGTTGTTGTTGTTGTTGTTGTTGTTGTTTATCATTATTACTATTATTATTATTATTAGTAGTAGTAGTAGTAGTAGTAGTAGTAGTAAGAGTAAGAGTAAGAGTAGTAGTAGTTTGAAGTGGTGGTAATTGTGATAGTAGTGGATAGTAATTGTAGTTGTGTGGTGTTTGTAGTTGGAGGTGGTAATGATAGTGGGCAGTGGTAGGTGGTGGTTATAGTGGTGGTGATAGTAGTAGGTGGTTGTTGGTGGTTGGTAGTGGTAGAAGTTGTAGTTGTCATTGGTGGTAGTCATGGTGCTAGTAGGTGGTGGTGGTGGTAGGTGTTGGTGATAGTGGGTGGTAGTAGGTAGTGGTTGTAGTATGGTCGTGGTGATAGTAGTAGGTGGATGTAGCTGGTAGTGGTGGTTCTAGTTGGTGGTGGTAGTATGTGATAGTGGTAGTAGTTGTAGGTGGTGGTGGTGGTAGTAGTAGTAGTAGTAGTGAAACGTTTGTCCTTTTTGCATGGATGAAATGTCAAGGTCAGTGACAATGACTGTCTTGTTTTTTCTTACTCTCAGGCTCATATAATAACCAGTACATGGTGCTGGACACAAGTAAAGTTTCTCTGGGCTCCAGTATTGATGATGGCGCTTTAATTATAGTGGAGCAAATCCCTGGCCTAGTGGAGTATTCGGACCAGACACAGGCACTGCGCAGAGGTAAAGCTCTCTCAAAGTACTTTTAATTGGCACATATCATAAAACCAATTTTTCTCTGCTACTTTGAGTTTAATGTAGTATGTACACTTTGTTACAATTTCAAACTGTACCATTCACTTCCCTCTCACTCCTCACTGCCTCACTTAACATTTTTTTTTCTGTACATTTCGGTCTGGACTGCTTTTTGAATAAGGCCAACCAGAACAGAGGTCATTTACATATCAAATGTTCAGGGCAGAGTAACAAAAAAGCCTGTTTAATTCTAAGTGATAAAGTGAGGTTGGAAAACGATGAAAAAAGAGTGCATATAACCACACGATCATTATAGGTGAAAATAAAATGCATACTACATACAGTACACACTCATGCAGTAGTGAACATGCAACATGCAATAGTAATGCTTAGTGTCCAGTTTGCAGTTAAATTGCTCTGCGTGTTCCTAAGATGCTATCTTGTTGACTCCAGGTTACTGGCCCTCCTACAATGTGCCATTCCATCAGAGGATCTACTCTCTGAGTGGCTATAAACAGATGTGGAAGAAATATGGAAATGAATTCTCCTATGACCTTTGTCCCAGAGCCAAGATCTTCCGCAGGGATCAGGGGAGCGTGACTGACTTGGCCTCTCTCAAACACATCATGAGATACAATGGTAACCATAGTAACAGTAACATTAATGTCTAATACTAGGATGTCAGTCTAAGGCTGCTTTAACACACAGTTCGTTTGCTAAAGTCCACTCCAGAGTTTGGGTCATGATATATCTTTTTCATTTGGTTGGTTTGGTTTCACATTGCATTGTCCACCATATAATAGAGGTGAGTGTTGGTTAATTGGTCAGAAATTAGGTAATTAAACAAGTGCCTCTACTTTGCCTCTATTAATGCCAAATGTGCCCAATTTTATATTTCAGTTACTATTATAAGATCCTACAGAAGCCCTAAAGAGCCAAGAGTTTCTTCCAGCATCAACATTACTCATGAAACTAATGTACAAATATAACTAATACTTTTCATTTTGAGTGAAAACTAGCATAGGGCTACATCAAAAACAACTCAGAAAATAATTTAGATGTGTAAATGTTTAGCTCAACCTGAAAAGAGTGCTTTAGTTACATGCATAACCTCTTGGTAATTTGAATAAAATATATACATTTTTAAATCCAGACTTTCTGTATGTTACTCTGTAAGTTGTAGTTTTATAGTAAAAGCTCCATAACTACTCAAATCTAAAGCATAACACTGAATATTCTTAGAGTAGCCTGTTAGCTCTTTGCCAAGCTGTTCATCCAAGATTAACTAGTTAAACATAACTGCATACCAAATACTCTTCTTACCTGGAGTATTTAGTCTGTCTTCAGCTGTTTACTCCATACTGGGGCTATATGGCAAAAATATTTAGTGTTTTCCATTCTAAGGGCAGCTGTCTAACTAGTCACTGCCTTTAAAGGCACCTCTCTCTTTGGGCAGCATTTTAGCCGAAAAGGAACCTTAGTAGGCATCGCATTTGGGACAGTGCTTCAGAACCATCATATGTCATAACTTTCACTATGTTGCACACGTTTCATCTGTTTACTCACAGTCACTGGTCAGCTTACACTCACTGTTTAGCTGTTAAATAATATCAAATAAACTTGCTTACATGTTTTCTAAACCTGTATGTGAGGTGTGACATATGGGGGTTCTGGGTGGTCCGGGACCCCTTAATTAACCTCTTGGATACCCTGAATGTCTCAAAATTGTGGGGTGGTCTCCGAAAATAAACAACGATGTTACGATGTTAGACTTAAATACTAACTGAAGGAAAGGTCATTGTTTAGCTCACTGGAGATGCAGCACTGGTCTACCTCACGGTGGCGCTGTACCAGATTGGTTCATTCAGTTGGTCTTTCATAGCCTACCAAAAGTAGCTTTACCCAGGATACCTCTGAAAATCTTCACAATATGCGACAGCATATTTGTAAATCTGACAAACGTGCCAAGTTTTCCAAGACTTTGGTGGAAAGAGTGAACTGTTACTTATTTCTCAACCAAAGACACTGAGATGTGGAAGATCTCAATTAATTTGAAAAAGAGCACATTACCAAACTAGAAAACAGCATTTCCAGAAGAAGAACTGTTAAAACAAACATTTCATTGCCATTGAAGCTATCATCAGTGCCTCTGTGGTGAGGTGTTTTGCACACTGCCTGTATGACATGGTTATATATAAAAATATTCTGTATATGCTATAAAACCTGAAGTAGAGGCTGTTTTGAAGCCTGAATTTTGTCTTCATTTTTGTCCATCATCACTTAACAACTACCTTTTTGAAAACTGTGGGTGGAAACATTAACAAGAAAGCTAAAATTGAAGTCAAATTTACTGTTTTATTCTCTCTTCTATTGTTGATTTCCCCTTTAGAGATAAAAAGATACATTTTTTTGACATCTGTTCCTGAAAGGATTCTGAACTGAAAGAATTCATTCTGAACTGAAAACTAGTAGAATGACCTCTGCACTTTTGTTTTATAGATTATGAGAATGACCCATATTCAGAGGGTGACCCCTGCAAATCCATCTGCTGCCGTAACGACCTGCGTAAAGAGCATGCGTCTCCTGACGGTTGCTATGACACCAAGGTAACATTCCTCTATCTCCTTCCCTTCTGTGCTCTCCTTCAGCCTGCACTCTCCCACATTCAGGTCACTGTCTGTGTGTCCTGTTTTTATTACACATTACACTTGAGTAATTTCGGTATTAGATTAGTTCAGTACATACTGAGGTGAGTTTGCTCATCTGTGTATTTGTATCTCAGACATTTGTGTGTGTGTCTCTCTCTCTCTCTCTCTCTCTCTCTCTCTCTCTCTCTCTCTCTCTCTCACTCACTCTATCACTCTCTTGCTAGGTGACAGATTTCCTGAAGGGGCAGAAGTTTGTATCTGAGGCTCTGAATGGTCCGACCACAGAAGGTGGTCTGCCTCCATTCTCATGGGATCGGTTTAACAGTACAGCTCACCAGGGTCTGCCACGTGTCTACAATTACACCTTCATCACCATGCAGCCTGTGCTCTTCACTCCATGAGCTGCCTCTGGGGGGGGGCAGTTTTCCTCTGGGAGATTTTAGGTACCACCTGTTTGTTAAATCAGTAACACTTCTCCAAACACTCTGAGGTCTTGCTTCAAAACTTAAGAATTACCTTTGTGCACAGCGAAGTTCAGAACTGCTGGGTGAAGTCACTTTCAGGACACAGTGTTTTTTAATAACTGGACATTTTTGTGGAACATTTTAAGTATGATCTGATGTAACTAGCTAGATGCCTTCTTTGCTTTATGTTGTTCAGTGCCTTTTGTTTTCGAGTTCTTGAGTCTTCTGTTAAGGTACAGCCAGGGTGGTGTCTTTGAATGTCGGTATTCAAAGGTTTTGTTTGTTTTTGTTTTGACAGTGTATGTATTTTGTGATTTACAATGCTGCAACAATCAAAAAGCATCTCTTGCTCTCAGGGCTGTAGTTTAAACCAAAGTTAATCAGTATTTTATACAATGTGCACGCAATCAAATGGGATATGCTGCATTTTTGTATGTTTTTTTCATATACAATCAATAAAGCCAAACTATTCTCAACATTCTGGTTGTTGTCTTTCATTTAGTATTGATTAGCAGGGCTTTGGTGCTAGTTGCAGTGCTGTGAAAAGGTATTTGTCCCATCCTGATTTTCTGTATTGCTAAATATTTGTTACTGTGAATGCTTTTAGATATTTAAAAAATATTAGACAAAGAGAACAACTGTAACTAATTATTATTTTATTTATTTACAGAGCAAAATAACCAACATGTCAAACACGTGTGAAAAAAGTCATTGCCTTTTCAATTTGTTTCAAGTTTTAGCGAAATAACCACTATCAACGTTTCCTGTAGTTTGATATCAGCCAATGTTAGGAAGAAATTTGAGCCTGCTTTGCAGAACTGCTTTAATAGTTTAATTAGTTGCTTTTTACTTTTTTGCATAATTTGACAGCTAGTTAACCTAAAATTTCATGATGATGATTTCATGATGATTTCATGATGAAACACATACCACTGTTTTTATGTGATATGGTCCCTTTAATTTAACACATGCCTCTGTTTATTTGGCCTGTTTATTTAACACATGCCCCTGTTTTACATGATATGGACCCTTTAAGTTAACACACGGCACTATTTTTCAACATATGGGCCCTTTAAGTTATCACATGCCTCTGTTTTTCATGATTCAGGCCCTTTAATTTAACACATACCTTTGTTTTTCATACTGTGGGCCCTTTAACACACGTATCTAGTAAGTGGTATATATAGTAATGCTGTTTAATCTGTTACGTCTGACCCTTATTTCACTTATGACTGATCTCACAGCTCATAAAAACCCCATCTAATGTGACTCATGCTGTCGCTGAGTAAAGGTTCAACTAATCCTTTTCAATACAACATGTATATTTATGGCTTAATGTGTTTTCGCCACAAGATCGTCTATTTTTTCCCCAACTGTTACTGCTTTCCTGTTCACATGCTCAGTCCACTCCACTATCTCTCTTTCTGTCTCTGCCACCCCTCTCTAGGGAGATGCTCAGTGATTCATTCTTTCCTAACTCGCAAAAAGAAGAAGTGAAACATTTAAACCTTATTGCTCTCTCCTCCCCAGTTCTCTCTCTTTCTCTCTCTCTCTCTCTCGCTTTTCTCATTAGTGTTCTACAGTCTCCAGCCGTACCTGAGCAGTAATCGCCTCAGCAGTGTTTGTTCAGTAGTTTTATTGGGGATGGATAAGAAGACGTGTGGTCCTGGATTCAGCTGGGATGGTCTGGTTAAAGACTGCATCCAAGAAACTCAACCGGTCACTGGTGAGTCAGTTGCACTCATCTGTTGATCTTTGCTTGCTCAGCAGTTCTTTTGGGAAAGACCATCATGAATATAATATAAGGAAAGAGCGCTACTATGGGACGAACAAGTAAGCAGTATTAACACTTAAGACATTGCATGTAAGGTACCACAACCGCAGAAGACAACTCTCATGACAAAAGGCTAATTAAAAAAAGTATAAGTATTAATAATTTGAATTTCACTAACTTTTTTGCACATCAAAAAATAAATAAATAAAAAGTAGTGCAATAAAACAGTAAAAACAATGTTAATAAAAGAGTGCATTTACTGTTTTTGTCTTGTTAATAGAATTTTTAAAAGTAAAAGAAAACATTAAAAAAATCATGAAAGTATTAAAACTATAAAAAAAAAAGATTTAATATATAATGTGTAATGCCTTAATGTACTATACCTTGAAGCCAGCATATGACACCATAAGTTTACAGCATTATATCAATGTATAGAGCAGTGTTCGCAGTGTAAAGTGTTAGCAGTGTAAATGAGCCTTTGCAAAATACCAATTGATGTGCCTCTCAGCCAATCACAGCTGCCTCTAAGCACTACTTCCTCAATCAAACAAAGGACAAACAAACCTGCGGGGAGAACAGCGGTGGCAGTAAATTAATCCAAATTATTCAACTAAAAAGTGGTGAAAAGGTGTTAATGTGTAATTCAGACACATGCTGTCTAGATCATCTAGAGGATGATGTTGTTTTATTTCATTCCTAAAGCTGAAAAAAGTTTGGATTAAAGTATTAAGTGGGAGACCACACTCACAGCTCAATGGCAAAGCTATTAACCGACTCAAAGTTAAGATCAACTTCATCTAAGTTACTGTATTTACTAATAGAGTTTAATATCACATCTAATATTAAGGTTACACAAGAATGTTAAGATGGGTTTTCACTGGGTTAGTACTGGCTCATCTGAAGGGACAGTTTTAGTCATTCAAACCTCCGCCTTATTAGACATGAAAACCTACAGCATTTCCTTATGTTCTTAAGTCTACACTAAGCATTGTGTAAAGCCAGGGGTAAAATTCTGACGTTCCTATTCTCAGCCACCTGGTAGCGTCTGAAAATGTAGAAGCACACGGTGGAGAGCAATTGAAACAATTGAGACCTTTGTCATTCCAAAATAAAGTGGCTTTACATGATGTTTGGTGCAGACATACGTGTTTGAGAACCAACAAAATATGATTCCAGACCAATTTAAAGTGAACAAAAGGACTCTGGAAACCATATTTACATTAATCAATCCAGGTCAATTCTTTTGCCACTTCACATTAAATCGGCATGTTTTCTTGTCTAATAAGAAGAAATGTTTAAACTGCCGCTTCAGATGAGTTAATGCTAAAAAAGGTAATGCTAAAGTTAACACTGGAGCTAATCAAAGCAATGTTAGATACTGAGGAGGACTCATCTTTTACAACAAACCTTGATGAAATAATATGCAGAATGGTGCACAAGTGCATTAATATCTTTACACACAATGTTTTAATCACAAGTGTGAGTGCTGTACAGTCCTGTTTAATCTGACTGATTTATCAAGCTGACTGTCAGCAGCTATTAGGGTTGCCACCTATCCACGTTTTTCCTTGATTGTCCAGGTTTTTGGTTGCCTTTAAATTGATTATGTACTGGGATACAAAATGTCCAAGAATCCAGGAATTTTCATATGTTAGTATTTCTTATGATGTTTCACTGCTCCTTTTTGCTCAGTCAAATCATTTCTATACAAAGAATGGGTTTAAGAACTGTTTGAGAAAGGTGCACTGCTGGTGACATTAGGCATAGCATAGCTACCTGTCTGCTCAGTTCAGTTAAAAATCAAGGCCCTAATTGAGAGCTGAGGTGGCAACCCTAAAAGCTAGGTTAAAAAAAAGATTTTAATGCTAAACGTTACAGAAAAATGCAATCATTAGACATCATATTAAAATAAATTTTAGAGCTAGCATAGGTCTGCTTGTTCATAGTTGCTGCCACTGAGCTAATATAGATTAATCTAAAACATTTACAGCTTCGGGCATGAAATAAAAAACTTCACCCAAGATGATGGGGGTAGTATGTGCCAGGCACTATTGACCCCTGAAGTCAATCATCATTATCTAGTCAACGTCATGCCCATATTAGCAAATCTGGGTCTAAGCTGGATTTGTCTGTCGTGCCCCTTTTTGTTTACCATTTGTTTATGGTAAACAGAAAGTTTCCAAGCGACGTACATTTTGAACTACAAAGATTTACCCATTGAATATCACTGGGTCTTCTGAATTACAAGATCATTAAAGAGTCAAAATATGAACCTTGCTATGTCCATGCTATTAGCAAGCTATCACTCCAGTGCACACAACACCATTATATAATAACACCAGCTGCTCCTTTTTGTACTCGACTACTGCCAAAGCAACTTAACTATCACACTTCACAACACTTCCTAGTTTGTTTGGGGTGTTTTTCTGTAGCTGGCTGTATCTTATGATGTCGATTAAGTGTTAGCAGCAGCATTAGCTTGTATATAGCAATATGTAAATGTTGGCTCTTTAACAACCTCACAAAGCAGAAGATCCAGACATCTATTATTAGGAAAAATGTACATAGGATATAATGTATTATAAAGTTTAATGTAATGTATTTGCACCAAAAGTAACACTTTTACATCATTTCTTGGTCTAATAATTCTGCCACTGTCATTCTCGCTGCAGATCTGTTTTGAGGAGTTCTGTCAAAGTTTTCCTTTGCTTGATGAAGGAAGAAACTTTGCATCTTTACTGTCTTTTTACAAACAGAAACCCATGCTGGTTTTGATGTGCAATGTGTTCGCATGGAGTAGGTAAACAGAAAGTGTGTGTGTGTGTGTGTGTGTGTGTGTGTGTGTAGCAGTAGATACCCTTGCAGTGATGAGAACTAATGCTCCAACCTCGTCGTGGACTGCATTCGCCCCCAGCGTGTGGATCTGTGTGGGGGTAATCCTGAGCAGCTTGGTTCTCGCACTACTGCTTTGGTTCATCATCTACAGGAGACACACACACAACACAGGTACAGCACACAAACACACACAAAGGACACACTGAGCAGGAAGACTAAAGGGCAGTGAATGTGTTCAATAAGGACTGTATGAGCTGTGTTAGAATGGAAACTCCACGGAGCTAAATATAGAACTCAACAATACATCTAATAGTATATAAGAACGCCCTCAGTTACTCTGTACTTTTTTGTGATGTCATACATCAGGGGCAGGCGATGGAGGTCCTAAACAGTGACATACACATATATTTAGATGAGTTTCAGTTCCTCTTTAGGGAGGTCCTGAGGGACACCCCTTTTACAAAACCATTGTACACACACACACACACAGCAGAGAGAGATCAAAACTCACAGACCTTATCCAAAGGAAGCACACAATACATTCTGTTTCTTGCTATATTTAGCTGTTTCCATGTTCTGCTTATCAGACAGATAGCTACATCTGGGCTCACGTACAGCACCCTCCAAAATCTGGACAGTATTGTTATTGAACAGAAAGATTTTAATTAGCTTGCACTAGCAATTTATATTGGATTACACTGGATTCTAGAGAAGAGTACAGCTTTCATTTCTGAACACGTGTGTTTTTACCATGTTGGTGTTGCGTTGTTGGAATTTGTATCTCTTATGGGGCCAAACTTGACAAATTATCACTTTGAATGTCATATACGGCTCAAAACAAGGCCAAAACAAGATATTGCAAAATCATAGCATTTCTTCCTATTATTCTAGCAGTACATCAACACTGCACTGTATGCAACATTTCCTATCATTCTTCATAGACACTCAAATCATTTTTGCAGTACAAGCTGCTGCTAATAGTGACAGACGAGAAATAAAAATTGTGTTTTGTTTTGTCACATGTATTCTGGGTAGGTGGGGCCAGGCATCAGCGACCTGGTGAAACCAACTGAAACAAATGAAACAGGTATAATGTCACAAAAGTGTAAACTCAAGTACTTGTTAGCAAAGAAATTAGGTGTGAAAACAGCCTAAGAGCAGGTTATATGAGAGGGCAACTGTATTTTAATAGTCACAGTTATATATCAGCAAAACATTCTGCTATTACATCAGTCTCCCACTCCAGAGCCTCAATATTTGACTTGGACTCGCCCTCCACATCCTTGAGACTCAACTTAGACTTGCACCTGAGAGCCTCGAGAGTCAACCTGGACTCACACCTCAGAGCCTCCCGACTCGGATTTGCACCTCTGAGACTTGACTCAGACTTGCATCCCACAAACTTGATACTCAACTTGGACTCACACCCTGGAGACTTGAGACTTGAAACTTGACACAGGCTCACACCCCAGAGACCTAAGATATGACTTGGACTCACACCCTAGAGACTTGAGACTTGACTTGGACTCACACCCTAGAGACTTGAGACTTGACAGTCTCACACCCCGAAGACTTAAGATATGACTTGGACTCACACACCAGAGACCTGAGACTTGAAACTTGACACAGTCTCACACCCCAGAGACTTAAGATATGACTTGGACTCGCACACCAGAGACCTGAGACTTGAAACTTGACACAGTCTCACACCCCAGAGACCTGAGACTTGATATGGACTCGCACCTCAGAGACTTGAACTAGGCTTTAAATGCCTTGTAAAAATCTCTGTGATGTAGGCTACTTTACCACGACTCAGGGTGCCTGGAGCTATAAAATAAAATGACAAGCAAAAGTCACCTCTGCACAATGAAAACTTTTTTTTTTTCATGAAAAGTGCTTTCATTCACCGACAATCCAGTATGTATGCCCCAGCACCTTCTAAGATGACTGCATTCTTAATACTTAATGTTCAATTTAAATATCCAGAGAGAGAAGTCTCTGATTCACCCAAGAAAGCAGACATGAAACCAGTGTATTTGTAGCGTAAATTCAGAAGAAATATAGAGTTTCAGGTTTCAGTGTTGTTTTTACAGCACTACAAAACATGAGCAAAAATATGAAGTGTCTCATGATTAAATTATCAGTACTGCAGCATCGGTATAACCTGATAAATGCAGCCTGTGGATAAAGTTCTTATATTATTATTGGTTGTTGATAGGGCACTACATTTTTTAGAGGAGTTGTACATAAAGCTGTATATTGTATATTGTTAGCTCCTGAGGATAAAGCTCTATATTGTTGGAAGGAACTGTTGTATAATATGTTGGAGTGCTGTTGGCTCCAGGATGGATATTTCTAAATTCCATCGCTGGTTATATCTGTGTGCCTTCCTAAAACCCCAGGAAACCTAAATATGTGTTTTCTTTCTAAGTAAGTGATTTTTACTTTTGTGGGGGCACACAATATACATGTATACACAGTATACACAGTATACATTCCATTGTCCCTGTCTGATCCCACCTTAACCTCTCTCTTTCTGGATGTTCTCCATCGGAGCTCCGGGAGTGTGCTGTAACAAGAGACACACTCAGGCGCATCAATGTTCAGAGACACACTCAATTATTTTTGGGATAGAAGCATCTTTATACAGACATAGCTGGCGGGTGGCCAGTACAGAGATAAACAAGATTTCTGAGATCAAAATGTTGAGTAGCTGTGGGAAAACAGGAAAACGAGAAAGACGTGGCTGCCAAAAAAATCCACTTGCAGGTCAGGACGCTCTGCTCTGACATACAGACATAAGATGATTACTTTAATAAACTTGGTATGCTTGTAGAATAGCTTTGTACAGAAAAGATTCTCTTTGCAGTTCTCTACTTGCAGGCATCAGCTCCTCATTACTTCATAAACTTCAGACAGTTCATAACTCTGCTGCTCGTCTCCTCGCTTACACCCAGTCACATCACCATATTCCACCTACTCTCCAAAACTTCCACTGGCTTCCCATAAACTACCATATTCAGTTTAAGATCCTTCTTCTCACTTACAAAACTGTCAACAGTCTTGCTCCTTCCTACCTCTCTGACCTTTTCCAATCCTACAAGCCGAATTTCCTTTCAATACATGTACAAAAAATGTGCGATTACTTTCCAAAGCTCAATAAATGGTTGATGTATTCTGTGTATTTTGCCAAAATCACAATTTTTGTTTTATTTTCCTCTTAAAACATTAACTGGGCAGTGCTAATCTTGGGCCACCCATGTGTAAGCAGTATCCCCACCAATCACAAGACTGATGGCGGTTACCCCGCCCACATAGCTTTAACAACTCTTTCTTCACTCTGTTCTCTGTATTCAAGTCAGAAAAACATATTGAAGGAAAGCTAAAGTCCAAGCAAAAGCTAACCTATGCTTTACTATGCTGGCACATTCATCTTTTTGTTGTCTGTCTGTCTATTGTCCATTTTTCCATTTGTTCATTCATCTGGCTATGTTGGGATTCCCTGAATGAGCATCCAGCTGTAAAGGGAACAAAAACCTTACATTCATTAAGACATTAAAACATCATATATAAAACAGATAGTTCTGGTCCTAAAATCTGATTGGCTGAGCCTCGTTCGAAGCCGTTGTCAAATACACAATATACACGCACCCATGACTGCCTCATAACAACTGAACTCTGTATTACTGCACCACATCAGAAAAACCCTTGTGCTGTTAGTAAGATAATCGTTGACTCTCATGCTGCTTGCACGGACCACTGAGTGTACTGAAGAAGTAAGATCCCATTTTTTGTGTAAGCTAAGGGGCTTACAGCTTATTTTCTTAACGAGAACTAGGCTGGTCAGCTAGCTAACAGGCTAAAAGAAGGTTAACAGCCTAAACAACTCCATCAGTACTATAACACAGGCTTGAATTCAAGTACTTACGATATGATTCACTGTAAAATGGCAATATAAAAGTCTAAAGAGTGTCACTTAAATGGCTTACACCCTTCAAACGTCTGTGTTTCAGTCAGAAATCACATCAAGCCCAGGCTGAGTAACAATCGCCTTACATACTCACTAAGTAGTGTGCTAGCTGTGGAGGTTTTGAAATTCTAGCTACTGTAAAGGAACTACATTTCTTGGTGGAATACTTGTTTATGTTGAGTACTTGTTTCTGTAAAATTGTGTATATTATCATATTTTTTGTTGGCTGCTGTTTTATAAAAACAATAAGCCACTTGAGGTCGTGCATTACTGTGATTTTATCAGTGGGAAGGTATTTTTCGGCACTCCAAATATAAAATCGCAGCAACGCACAGCTTCAAGTGTCATTGCTTTAATAAAAAATCTGCCATATAACAGCTGGAAGGTGTGGTGTACAACACGAACTGCACATGTAGAATTTCTTTCATTTCTCCTCACTGGTTGCTGTTAAGTTCTGCATTAGCAGTGTAGCAGGAAATGTTGGAAATGTTGAACTTGACCATCAGAATATTAGGACCTTGTCCAGACAGTTCTCACACTGGTCTGATAAGTAATTTTTATCTATTTTGTTTTTGTTTTTTTTTTTCATTGCTGGATGTTTAATACATATATACTTAAATATATATATATATATATATATATATATATATATATATATATATATATATATATATATATATATATATATATATATATATATATGATTTTAGAATCATACAAATATTTTAAATATTTTACACTGTGTCACTGGTAGCATGGTAACATGCAGACATTACAGAAAGTGAATCAGTCAAGAAACATTCAGAACCCATTTATTTTGCCCATTACATTATGGTCAAATACTACTCAAATACCCACTCTCAAAACTTTCATACCCATCTGTTGTGAATGTGTTCTGTTCTACATTATATAACATAAAATACCGTCCACTGTCCATTTGCACTTTGGAGATGGCGAGAGGGACCACGTTATTTCTGTCTCAGTGCTGCTATCTACAGGCAAGGGATTGTAAATGTCTCAAAATGTTATAAATGACTTCTAACAATTCTCCAATAATGATCTGCTCTCTGCTTGTTTGGTTTTTATCATAGAAGCCCTCTTAAGAACAATACCCATTTACTGTAAAGCTAAATCATATCTGTGCATATCTGAGTTCAACATGTACTGAATGATGATTCATAAATCTACTCACAGTTAAGGAAAAAGAATTGGAACAACAGTCAATAATGTTTTTATAGCACTTAAAGGATGTGCTATATCTGCTGAGTCTTTTCAGACTTCTAGGTTTTGTATGTATAATGTATAATTTATGTCAAATCATTGTTAGTATTTGCGCTTTTCAAAAGTTATGTAATTAGTACTTTTAAAATACTTTATTTTAAATTAAGATCTCTGTCGGTTTGTTTTATTGATTACACTTAATTGCACACCATTTTCTTTACTAAAGAACCCTTCAGGAACCATCATTTTTAAGTAGTGAACAGCTTTGTCTTTATAATTTCAATCCAAGTAAGTTATATTTTTGGGGCAGTGTTGTAAAGGGGGCCCTTTGTTGCTTGTCTGGTAGACACCTTGCCCCAAAGGTCTTTATTTACAGTTTCTCTTCCAAAAAAAAAAAAGGACTGCTCTCTTCACAAACCATTGATGTCCACTTGACACATGTGAATTACACGTGGCTTAAAATTTACATAGAGTAGGCAGTCAGTCTTGTAGGTAACCAGACAGATGCTTATAGCACCTCAGCTAACATTACTAGCCTAGCCTTTTTCTGACAGTTTATGAAGAGGTAGTAAACTGATGCCAGGCATCTTGATGAACACTGAACGCTTTAGCTATTTCATTCAGTTTATACGAGTGGAGTGTTAAAATGAACTTGAACCTAGCTTTTGTCGGCTCTCCCTGCTGGCATTCTATTGCAGTGCTCTGCTACGTGATGCAGCGCGTGAAGTGAGGTGGTCTTGACATACATCAGGCAGGGTCGTTTTGCGTGTGCTCACTTCTTCCTCTGGGTTGGGTTGCCAAGTACCACGACACATATCCCACACAGAAACTAAGAAAGTCCCATTTGATTTGTATCACTATGAAATCAGGAGATTAACAGACTAAATTACCGATCAGAAACTCAGCACGGGGAAAGGGTTAAAAATAGGGAGACTCCAGTGAAAAGAGGGAGTGTGGGCAGGTATGCACCCCTCATCCTATATTTAATTTTTCTTTTTTTTCTTTTCCAACTTAATTTAAATGTATAATTCAGTGAAAAATCTAATCAACTGACCCCAAAAGTTTCTTGGGGAATACATTCCAGGAATGCTATGATCCAGATGATTTCAGAATCAATTAAACCATCGCTATTTAGTAAATGCGTGTCTGTGTTGGTTTCCTCCGGGTTCTCCGGTTTCCTCCCACAGTCCAAAGACATGCAGTTAAGCCAATTGGACACGCTAAATTGCCCCTAGGTGTGAGTGTGAGTGTGAATGTATATGTCTGTCTGTCTGTCTGCCCTACGCTGGACTGGTGACCTTTCCAGGGTGTATCCTGCCTTCTGCCCTATGGCTGCTAGGATAGGCTCCAGCTCCCCCCGTGACCCAGAAGGATAAGCGGTTTAGAAAATGTGTGTGTGTGTGTTTGGTAAATGTGTCAAGACTGGGTTTGGCCCCATCATTTCATCAGGAGTGGGAGAATAAAGCAAGGAGGGGTGGCATTTTCTGTCTTATCTTTCATTTGCTTTCATGTTCTTTTTGCGTTAGTGGTTTCTATGTGTTGCGTATTGTATATTCCGATTCCTAAAGTACACAAGATTCAGTTCAGCTGTGTTGAACTTCAAGATTTTGATGTGCGATAAATATTAAAAGCTTTTATATTTGTTCTGCAGGTAAGAGACGCTCAGAGCCTGCAGCTCCTCCTCAGCTTAATGGAAACACTGTCAGCCCGGCATTGCTGGAAGAGAGAGAAGACCCATCTCTTTCCTGTCCACACTGGAACGGAAAGACAGAGGAAGTGTCCGTGTGTGAAATGGGCTGGGGGCGGGGCATTTGTGAAGGAAAGATGGAGCACGGAGTGCCCGTACCTGCTACTGAACTTGGAGACTCTGCCCTCGTGACTACCAAAACCGTGCAGCAGGCCGAGGCCTGATACGGATGAGTGTACTGCTGCTGCTCCCGAAGAGTCTAAAGCACCTGTCAGGATGTTTTTTACACCTCAATTACACATAGAATCATTAGCATCCAACTACTCAATCAGTTAAATAGGTTTGGCAGAAGAAACAAGAAGTCAAAATGAGCTAATCAGATAAATAATGACTATACTGGAAACTGTACCTAATAAACAAATCAAACAGAGTTAACCCCTAGAAGTTTAGTTAAGCAATAGAAAACAAGAGTATGTGGTGTGAATATCAAGTAGAATTTCTTTCACCAAAAAAGTAGTTCCAGCAGCTTAAAGCCTGTTTACACCTTGTATTAACAAGTGTTTTGTGTCCAGATCGTATCTAGAAAAACTCTGTCCGGATTCCGTTTACACTATTCACTAAAATGCATCCCCTATGTGACCAGAGGAGATCAGATGTTACTTTCCTTGCATACAAAGCACATCAATGCAAGCGTTGTTTCCATTTTAATTTGTTTTATTTTTTTCCCATTGAGATATGAGTCATCAAGCTTGGTTCGGACACCTACACCTGACCAGAGTGCAAGAAGGCAGGTGGTTTTGGGGTAACTTTGTGTGTCCTCTATGTTTCCTTTTCTTGTATATCCACTCACTTTTGTCAGCACTCAGCACACGCTCACATAGTTGTATATGAACAGTGCTAGCTTTATCTAATAAATGACATAAGCAGCTATTTATGGCCCTGTGCTGCCAGGGGACCACTAACAAAAAGAGATGTGGAGAAAAATCTTAAGGATAAACGTATGTTTTGTTTTTTATGGTGTTAACATCATTCCATTTGTTTTGGCTTGTAGTTGGACAACAAGAATACTTACTCAGGCTGTAATTAACTAATTGAGGTTAATATACTCAAACTGTGATTAATCCAGATTTAGATACTCAGGCTGTAATTAACGAAATCGAGGTTTAGATACTTAAACTGTGATTAATCCAGGTTTAGAGGCTCAGACTGTGATTAATCCAGGTTTGGGTACTCAAACTATGATTAATCCAGGTTTAGATACTTAAACTGTGATTAATCCAGGTTTAGATACTCAAACTGTGATTAATCCAGGTTTAGAAGCTCAGACTGTGATTAATCCAGGTTTAGGTACTCAAACTGTGATTAATCCAGGTTTAGATACTCAAACTGTGATTAATCCAGGTTTAGGTACTCAGACAGTGATTAATTAATCGATGTCTAGATACTCAGGCTGTAATTAATTATTCCAGGTATAGATACTCGAACTGTGATTAATCCAGGTTTAGATACTCAGGCTGTAATTAATTAATCCAGGTTTAGATACTCGTACTGTGATTAATCCAGATTTAGATACTCAAGATGTGATTAATCCAGGTTTAGATACTCAAACCTGAATCCTCATGCGCTAAACATGTAAGTGTGATGTTTATGATGAACAGATAATCTACTCTATACTACTAAAATACCTAGAAAAGTAAAGCATTTAAAACAGTAATTTACTCTGTTCCATTTACAATTGCGTTAAGTGTGGTTAAGATCCGTCTCTGTACAACGCTGAATAAAATACGAGGGATCTGATCGTAATCTGCTCACAGTGCATCCTGAGAGTGTTTACACTTAGCTTTTCATGCAATCATGTGAATCTGAATCCAGTCACTGAAAATACATGTTGATGCATAAGAAACACAAGTCATAATAAAATCTCCTCTGTTTACAAACACAACACTTAGAATCTGCAATTTCCACAGAATATCTCCTCCTGTTTTAAAGAGAAATAATTCAACAATATAGGAGACCTGGGGAGACATTAGCTTGTCTGACTAGAAAGGTGGCAAATCTGCCAACTTCTCTTCTTACTGAGTTGTAAAAGAGGTTCTGTTTAATTAGGCTGTAGTAAAGCCTTTACAATTAGCCTGTATTATTATCCTACGTGATTATCCTTTAAAATGAGTGTTTTAGGGTTTAGTATTTTTTTTGGATTAAATTGTCATTAGCACCAGGTGTGTGACTGACAACTGAAAATCCAAACATTCTGGTTAATTGCAGTATATTCATCTGCTGCTACTTTCTGAGTTTTATTTTCTATTATCCTGTTTACAAATGTATCATTTCATGAAGTACTGCACGTTTGCTGGTTGTTCTGTTGTACTTTTACTGTAGTTTTCATTTAATCCTTCAGGTTTGTTCGTTTCTTTTTTCCATTATGATAGTATTGATTTGTTTATGCTGTCAGGTTTTCTTTTGTTCTCTGTAAATAATATAAATGCTGTTTACTCTGGTGTTTTATTTTGTGTTTAAACTGGTCACTGTGACTTTGACCCTGAATGCAGGCTGCTGGTGGCTGCAGGGTGTTATAAGTTCTCTACAGCAATGTCGGAGATGGTAATGTTACTTTTAATTAAAGAAATTAAAAATCATGTTTTTTTATTGGCTCCAGAATATTGGAGCGTATGTGGAACATTTTGTGACACCGACTGAACAGTTTTGGTTTCAATTTTTTCAAAATGCTTGTTCATTTGTATGACTGTGTTTAAAAAATGCTGTTGCAGAGCCAGTGAGATCTGGCAACCCCTTTTGTACATGATGGAAAATATATTTGATTCAGCAATAAGTTTCATGTTTTCAATGGATAAGCTTAGGAAGTTTTTCTAAGTTGTCTGATGGGTGAAGCTCCTCTAGCACACATGGCTTCAACTTGGATAATAGTGAGCTCCATTAATATTGGCACCCTTGGTGAAAATGGGTAAAATGTTCAAGAAAAAAATGTATTGTGGTTAAGTATCTTACACTGAAGAAAGGAGAGAAATCTAAGCTTTCATTGAAGTAAATCTAGTGTCCAGTCCTAGATATGTGTTTACTGAAGCATGTTCCTATTTATATCCACATGATATCCATATTAACGCCACATGAATGCTCAGAAACTCCATGACTACCTGTTTCACTGAGGCACACATTGAGGGGAAACAAGCATTCAGACACTTTTGTTTTTTGTTTTAAATCAAATATACTTCCAGTGCATATATCCACTTCAAATTCTACTTAAAAATTTTGCCAATTCAGTATGAACAACGCAGCATCTAGGTATGTATATCTATATGTGTTCCTAATCAGAAGCTATTTTGTAGGATATTTAAGAGATATTCCGACCAATGTTCTGTGCAAAGTCTTTTAGGTTTTCCTTACAGTTCTTGTGTTTCTACTCAGGTTAAGACCCCTTGTCTTACTATTTTGATGTTGAGTTCTGGATTGTGTTTTTGGACCGTTTGCCTACTTCTATATGATGGATGTCCTGAGAGTTTTGACCCTGCCTGTTGTGTTTTACGAATCTTCTAATAGTTCAATAAACCTGCACATGATTCCAACTACCATCTGGGGAGTTAACCAGTACAAGATGGAATATGGCCGGAGAGTGATTTATAAATAAAAATAACCCTGCTAGTGAGGACCAACCAACTTTATCATACAGTCTGCAGTGGTAAGTGTTATAAGGGTCACCAGTAATGAATCTCAGAGTGGAGTGATAAATTGAGTCTAGTGGTTTGAGGGCACTGGCAGCTGGATGTTTATAAGCTACATCGACATATTCTAGGACTGAGATTGAGGTCGCCCCCACGACTCTTCTTCTGGCATACATAGGCAGACAAGATTAATTTTGATATAGGAACCTAAGCCTCTAAGTTTTTTGCAATGTAGGAGGAGGACAGAGGAGAAAGGACTCCAACACAAAACCCTTGCGAGAGCCCAGAGAGTAAGTGATCTACAAAACAGGAGTCAGGGTGAGACAGATAGCTCTAGAGAACGGGTACACTAACAGGAGTGGAGGGACAGCCACTCAAAAGTTCTTTAAGATGGGGGCCTTTCCCCACCCTGCAGGACAGAGGCGATGAGGACAGGTGGATTTCTGGTGGGGGTTCTTGCAAAGCCAAAAATTTACAATGAACAAAAATGCACACAGATTCACTGAAATTATGGCATAAAACATTCCCATGAAAACTGACAAGGGGGCGACAAGGAGCCCTTACAGGTTCAGCACCATGGACAGCGACTACCCAAGTACAGGCCCAAGGACACGGTGACCGCTTAAGTGGCGAATCAGCAGTTCTGTAACAGACAAGTCCAGTCTGGAATTGTAGGGAGCAATGAACAAGCAGACACAGCTTAAAACGATTTATGTTATTCATAAAACAGTGTGATAACAAACTCCCCAAGAAAAAAGATTGTGCTGCAGCCTAGCATCAGATGTCACACCTACGGGTTAATGTACGCTAATGTTCAAAGAGATATTGTGCAGTAGAGCTGTCAGTAAAAATGACATTACTGAGTAATTTATCTTAATCTACTAATCTGTTTTCATTTATTTATTTTAATATAGACTTATCTATATCTATACTCTAATCAACTTTTTGTTGAAAAAGGAAAGCTTCTAAGCCTTATATAATCGTTGCTTAATATAGCAATAAGACACGAGAGGCTGTTGGTTACTGCAATTTTATTGCAAGGAAGGGTGTTAAAACTCCTTTCCCTGTGTTAAATCGTAGTAACTCACTGCCTCCAGTGGCTTATTGCTTTTATAAAACAGCGGCCAACATAAAATATATTAAAATACATAATGTTTCAGATAATAATTTGAGTTATTATTAATAATAATCAACATAAACGTTCAGCATAATAATCAACACAATAATCAAGATAAGTATTACGCCAAGAAATGTAGCTCCTTTAGAGCAACCATTGACCGCTGAATGAAGAGAACGTCCAGTTGCCCACCACTGTACACTACAGACATTTCATGATTTTTAAAACTCTTTCATAAACAGTGAACATACGTAACACAGCACTGTTTAATGCAAAAACGTTCACTTTATAGTAAAAAATACTGGTCTCTAATTACCACTGCGAGTCTTCTTCTGCCAGTCTGACTCCACTTTTCTCATGCTGGGGCTGAAACTTGAATGGCTCCCTGTTCCCTACATAGCGCACTAACTTATGTCGGAATTTTAATATTCACTCCTGCACCACAAGAATGCAAAATATCACCAAAAATGATCATTTGGGATTCATCCAAATACATACTTGACAAGCAGTGCACTTGAAGTGAGAATTTCTAAACGTAATGTTATACAGCACACTATTTAGCTAGGGAGCACAGAGCCGTTTGGGATTCAGCCTGGGTTTGATACTACTTCTGACTGAAACACAGACATTTGAAGCGTGTAAGACATTCAGGTGACATTCTTTAGACTTTTATATTGCCGTTTTTCAGTGAATCATATCGTGACTACTTTAATTCAAGCCTGTGATATTAATGTTGGCATTGTTTAGCATGTTTGCTATCTTTTAGCTTGTTAGCTAGCTGACCAGCCAAGTTCTAGATAAGAAACTAAGTTTTCAGCCCCTCAGTTTAAACAAAAACGGGTTCTTACTTCATCATTAGAGTCAAAGATTAATCCATTAAGAGCAGAAGGGTTTTTCGGACGATCATAGCTGTGGCATATTGTGGATTTTACAACGGCTTCGAACACGGCTCAGCCAATCAGATTTTAGGTCCGGAATTACCCGTTTTATAATATAAACTTTGTGCCTTACACAATGTGCACTAGCAGAGCATACAGTGATCTAAAGACTCAAACCTTTTTTCATGTAATGTCATAGTTTGCTTTAGTTTTGTTTGTACAGGTTATTTCCAATGACAGATGCGGCCCCAGACCGGCTTACCAGCTATGATGAGTCAAAAAGGTGTGTGTTTTCTCTAACCCACCAGCAAGGACCATCCAAACTACTCAGGAAAAAAATGGCATAGCTCATGTTGGGGCCCTTGTCTTTAGACTTAACAGTTACGTCTGGTGTTTCATTCTCCACACCTACTTCACCATTAAAACACACTCTTTTTCCTATTGTAACGGTCTGACCTGAGCCAAGTC